CAATTTCTACTTTCTAACTGCGTTTTATGTCGTTATATGAAACATGGTCATCGTTACTCTAAGTACTACCAGAACAGGAGGATGGGCTGAATCCCCCGATGGTCCAAAAGAGTTTTATTCTGTCCTACCTTACCTTGAGGTTACCTTGAGGTTACCTTGAGGTGCTTCCGGGGCTTAGCGTCCCCGCGGCCCGGTCGTCGACCAGGTTTCCTGGTTGCCGGACTGATCAACCAGGCTGTTGGACGCGGCTGCTCGCAGCCTGACGTGTGAGTCACAGCCTGGTTGTTCAGGTAACCTTAGTTCCTATTATATATTAAACAAATATTTACCCATCGAGATGCTCCCCAAGGTTGAATTACTGACCCTTTCCCTCCAGGATGCAACCCCATAACAAGCTAACCCCTGGGAACTTATTTATTGCTAGATGAACAGTTGCATTAGGCGATAGGAAATGCGCCCAACTATTTCGGTCCTGCTTGGTATTCGAACAGGGAATTCTCGATTATGAGTCGATAACGAACCCCCGACTTGAAATTGAAATTGAAATAAGTTTATTGGGGTAAAATACACACAAAGGGATGAGGTAGCTCAAGCTATTTTCACCCCGTTCAGTACATCGTGTTAATACATACATAGACACACATCACAAACAATAAACATATTACCAAACGTTCTGAGTGATAAACATCTACATTTCCTAACCCCCGACTGTACTACCAGAAACAACCCAGCTAGTTTTCTTCCTATTAAGGGGTTCTGTACATGCTGTTTTTGTATTCACTCACGACATGAAATGCAAAAAAATGTTATCTATGCAACGGTAATCACTTACCATGATTTTCTTGTGGGTGCGAGGCGACGCCCAGCATTCTAATGCCAGGTTGTCTCTCCTGGTCTCCTCCTTCCTCAGTGTCGCCATAGTCCCCTCTAGCACCTCTCTGCTACCTGCATTTCCAAGTTTCAACTGCTTCTTTTGCTTTTGAAGCTTTTGAGTAGTGTTTAAGAGCTTTTTTTTTTAATTCTTTATTTCAAAGTTTTAGATTCAAATTTTACATTTATTTCCTCCACTATTTCCAGTTTCAGCCACTCAAAATTTCAGCACTGTACATCACTATACATCATTCACTGCACTATAATTGTCATCGTTTGCTTCTGTTTCTGGTTTTAGTCTTATACTTCACCAGTTTCAATCGTCCACCTCGCTATGTCAAGTTTTCCTTGACTACTCTGGCTTGAAAAGTGTAAATTTGTGATCAAATGCCCGCAGTTTACAAGTTTCAATTAATCCTATTAGTAACTGTGAAATAAGTTGTTGCTACGCACTACGATTATTTAAATTTCTTCACCACTTTGTATATTTAAGAGAATACCTCGAAATTGCCACTTTTAGCATTTAGAGAGGCGTGGAGAAGCCTTCTCCTGGCGGCAACGCTCGCAGCTTAGTGAGATACGAGGCTGCTGCCGACTCTCTTTATGGTCCTAGCAGTTGTTGTTGTTTTAGATTTAGCTACCGGGAGCAAAAAGTTGCAAGTAGCACGGGGCTATGGTGAGCCCGTAGTGGACCAACTTGGCACGGGAGCCGGGGCTGTAGCTCGCTTCTAGCAGTACAAGTGTTCTTAAATATAAGAACTGGCATTTTAAAGAAGGGGATAAATGGCAGTAAGGTATCACAGAATGATAAAAAGTACTCTCACTCATGGAAACATGCGGTAAATGACTTTTAAGAGTTCTCATTAAACTTGGACAAAGAGAAGCTCTGATAAAGCCAAAGGAGTGGAGGTGAGTCGGTGCAAGATAATAATTTATGGAGACTTTTTACTAATATGTTGGGTGATCACAGCATCGTGAGTCTCCCTCCCCCACACTGCTATATATAAATCCTTGTTTTATAGAAGCTCCCCCGCTCCTGTGCCAGGTAAGTTACGGGCTCACCATAGCCCGTGCTACTTGGAACTTGTTCAGAGTAACTGAATCTATAACAACAACATATAGAAGGTATTTTGAGTGACTCTTCACATGCCCTCAGAAGTACACTCTGAGAAGTTAACACGAGATTAAGTTATTATTTCAGCCAGGCTGTTATTACTGGGCGATCGTCTCCACCGCTGATGCCACGCTTACCCTTAAGCACTTCCACCACAACTTTAAGGCCAGACACAACAAACACCTTCAAAATTAAACCAAATATAAATCAGAGCGGGAAGAGGCCTCCAGCGCGGCCCTCACAGGCTTCCCGCCTCCTCCTCTCTCCCTCTCACCGATTCACTCGTAAATTTCCATTATTATTATACAACAACCTATATTTTCTCAAATATAAGTAAATATTATTGTATATTATAATTTTGTTTATACTTTGGAATAGGATAGATGCTTTAGTTTGCAATTTGTAGTACATGGGTGAAGCATTTAGAGATGCGATTCGAACGCAAAAAGTTCGAGCGCAATGTTGCAAGCACTTTGTAGGTTTTTTTTTATTCATAAACCGGTGTTTAGTAGTTTAGCAGTCGCATTAACAACCATTTGGCCCATTGTTTGTGAGGATGAGCTGGTTTTAACACTACGCGGATAAAGCATTAAAGGATTCGAACACCTGAATAAAAACAAAGCCATGTTTGAGAATATTTCGAACACAGGCAGTTATTCCATCAAAATGTTTCTAAGTGAAAAACATTTAAGTGCTCATGTTGCAAGAAATCTCCCAATTTATTTATCCAGGAGCATAATGATAAATGCGCTCAACGCAGACTTTAACACACTTATGACAGCCGCTCAATATTAACAAAAAAATTTTACATGTTGGAATTGATCAAACTTTCACCACTTTTTATTTTATAACGTATGTAAATGCACTCATTGACAGCGTAACTCTTGCAATAAACCGCTATTTGGATAAGAATTATTTATATTTTTACTTTTATAATTAAAATATCTATAATATTATTTCTAAAAATATGCTAGTGAAAAGTCGTCATATGATTATGTACATAAAAGGTACTCAAATTTTCGGAATATTATCCACGTTCACTCAGGAGCTGGGGAGGAGGAGTGTCGCTCAGGAGCTGGGGAAGAGGAGAGGAGTGTGTGTCACTCAGGAGCTGGGGAAGAGGAGAGGAGTGTGTGTCACTCAGGAGCTGGGGAAGAGGAGAGGGGTGTGTCACTCAGGAGCTGGGGAAAAGGAGAGGAGTGTGTGTCACTCAGGAGCTGGGGAAGAGGAGAGGAGTGTGTGTCACTCAGGAGCTGGGGAAGAGGAGAGGGGTGTGTCACTCAGGAGCTGGGGAAGAGGAGTGTGTGTCACTCAGGAGCTGGGGAAGAGGAGAGGAGTGTGTGTCACTCAGGAGCTGGGGAAAATGGTAGAGCGGTGCCTCACGTGGAGAACCAGTGTTCAGGTGTGAGAGGGGCGACTCAGCACCACACACAACACAAGCCAGGGTGCCACTGCTCCTCACCCCAAGGTGCCACTCACCGCTTCATCTACCCTTGGCACCCAGGCCAGCGTCACCCCCCCCCCACCTCTCACAACCCACGCCATGTAATTACCTTCTATATTTGGCATTATTAATGGTATCATGTGATGGAAGTGACAGACACTACTAATGTACCTTTTTGTGTGGGGCACGGGGCATTAAGGGCATTACCATGTCTTCGTTTCTGGGATTTACAAGTTGATGGTGATGTATTATATTCAATATAAGGGGTCATACTATATACACAAGAATAGGGAACAGTTGTATAGACGAAACCCTTCTGTAATATTTTGCTAAATTGCTACAAAACCCGCAAACCTTTCCTGAACATTCAAAAAGCAAAGGGGGAAATTATAATTAATTACAAATAAATATATTGCACCTTTATTATGAGGTTACCTTATGGAGTAGGGTGTATGTACTCACCTAATTGTGAAGAGCAGTTACAGTAGGGTGTGTGTGTGTATGTGGATAGCTTTTGGAACAGCTTCTGGAATAAGGGGTGTGGATAGCTTCTGAAGTTGGGGGGGAGGAGAGTTTCTGGAGTAGGAATGTTGATAGCATCTGTGGTGGGGCACATAAAGAACATTGGGTGTTGTGTATATGAAAAGCTTCTTGAACGTGATGTGTAGTTTAGGAGCACATGCCACACTCGAGAACATCTCCACACACCCTAATCTTCCTGTCAAACTTTCAACCATATATACAATTATGTCTTCATCCTGCTACAATTTACACTTTTTACACAACTTTAAAATACTTTGTCAAAGATTTTCTTCAAATTTCCTTTACACAGTCATGTTATCAGTTATTATTTTATACATTTTCTTAATTCTGATAGTTCTGTTGTAATTCTTCACATATCTATACCAACTAATGCTAATTTACCTACAAAAATGTTTGACTCAGAAATACAGTAAAACTATTTGCCAAATTTATTTCACCCCCCCCTATATATTTTTAAACAGCATCTTCTAACAAAGGCTCTTATCATTTATACATAAAGCCACTCAACTGTGACTCTCAAACAATCACTTAATAAAACCACTCATAACTGTTTGCAATCACACATTTGCTCCACAAAGCAATTTCATAATTTCCATTTTTGTGGACAGGATGCCCCTCTCCTCTCTTCAGGTTTGTATCAAGATTCTTCCTAGGTCAAACTGTTCTTCCGCAGGATGCAACCCCACAACAGTTACCTAACTCCAAGGTACCAATTTACTGCCAAGTGTACAGAAGCATTAAGTGAAAACGAAATGTGACCAACCATTTCTGACCTGCTCCTGGATAAAACCCGGGAAATCTATACAAAGCAAAAGTTCCTGTGCCTACACCGCTGTCTTGAAGGAAGAAGAGTATGAGAGGTCATGTTCCTTTTTATTTATGACTTTATCATCACCACCCACACTTTTTTTTTTTGTCAACACACACTAAGTGGATGCTAGTGGGGACATATGCCAGCACTATGAATTCCAAAAGACAAAAGACAGCAGAGTCAGCTATCCTGGCTGAGATAGGAAACAAAAACAAGGATTTAAAAAGAAATAATTTAATAAAATTTGTACAAATCTGGGCAAGTGCCCCACCACTCGTGTAAAAGGAATACTTGATAATTATGATAATTGTAACGAACAAGATTGCATATCTTGACCATTGCAGTAATAATGTGTTGCAACAAAGAGAGCACTGTACCATTTCTCTACTGACAATACTTTTCTTTCCCAACATGTACAGTGCTACACCCTCATTGGTCTGTCAAGCTGTGTTCTCCACACTGACACAGACCTTATTGGTGAGCTTAATCATCTCCATTTTTCACACTACTGTACCATTCGCTAGTCTATGTTTTTACTCAACACCACTTGCTGGTCTACAGCCCAGTATCATCACTCTACTGCATTCTCAGCTAATACAGTATTGTAATCAATACATCTCTATTTCCATATATGCCTATCTGGTTTTTTCCCACTTCTTTAATTTTGCATTCTGACTTGCATACTGTATGCTACTTTACACTAATAAATGCTACTCTTTCGCTTATTAATGCCATTTTCTCAGGTATACTAATTTCCCCTTTTGGTATAAAGTATATAATTGTTAATGAAATATTCAGTCTTTTCACCTTTTCCATTTTCTAAGTGACAGGAAATGCGTCACCTGTGATAGCCAACCCAGCATGTAGAAATCTTTTGAAGAAAATCTTTTTAGGTGCTTCCTCAAGTTTCTTCAATGTTTTGAAGTAGCTGGGACATTTGGAAAAGATTTTATATGAAGTCACTGCCTCAAAGAAGTGAACTTCCTAGGGAAACAAGGTGAAGTATTGAAGTTATAGATATAGGATATTACTGCTATAAATACTGTGATCATAAAGATTCGATGATCACTATTTAAATGACAAGTTGTCACCTCATGGTAATAAAATGTTATCACCATATTATATTTTGACATTCCAAGACTAAAAATCTTGTCTAATTGCATCCGAGACCTACAAATTAAGAAGGCAATTATAAAAAGATTTAAAGAAGAGCTTGGCACATGTCTTACTGAGCCCCTCACTCAATCATGTTGACAACTTGTATTTTAAATATGTTAAAAGCATTACTAGCATAAAAATAAATATTCCCCGCATACCCTTGGCCAGCTTTCCCTGGCCAAGGGCAAGGCTGTGTGCATAGTCATCAGTCCAGATACAAGCGAGGCCTACCAGTAATTAAACTTACTGACAAAGGTCAGCATACAGCTTCCACCAATTTCCTATAAAGTACATATTTGTTATCAAACTGCCAAATTTACTTTGGTTTCAAGATGAATGCTCAATAACCCAAGTAGCTAACCATTGTTTAGATACCTTAAACTATGACACATTTGCCAATTTCATATTTCACTGTTTTTATTCACATTAATATTTCTTACTGGGAACATTTGCATGAAGCTCTTCTGCTCTATTCCTTAACTTTCCTAGCTCCTCTTGAATCTTATCTGTGATGACTTTGCGTGCCGTTGCAGGGTCCTCCTGGTTTTTCTTCATTTCCGAAACCAATTCCTTGAAATCCATTGGATCTCCAACCACGACAGTTACCATCTTTCCCACTCTGGGGATATAAGGAGTTTGATTGGGTAGAATTTTGTCCATTCCAATATGATAGAATGGTAAGACAATAGGACAAACAGGCGAGTCATATATCAGCCTTCCAACGCCCCATTTGAGTCGAATGTGCGTCATGTTCATGTTCACCTTGCCCTCAGGAAATATATGCACCCACTGGCCCTCCTTCAGTCGTTCAACCATGAAATCCATAGCTTGCTGAGGAAAAAAAATGATTGTCAGTCAAACCACAAGTTTAATTTATTTTCTTTCAATATATGTAATACCTGTAAAATACAAAATGAAAACATAATACTTCTTATGTTCTGTCAAATGGTTAAAATTTAAGGCATGATTAGGCAAAAATACATTACAAGATACTAAAAAAAAAAAAAATACAGAATGGAGGAAAATTATCTAAGGAAATTGATGAGATTACGTACAAATACAGTACAGTATAATACCAAGAAAGAGAAAGAGAGAACAAAAGAATTTGGATGTGTAGTAGTAGTACTGTTTTTATAATTCCACTTGTGAAATTATAAGAACAGTATTATAAATATTTTTAATAATATATAATTTAACAATATAATTTATTATAAACACCAATTTAAGAGTGGTCAACTTTATCACTTATATTGCCCTTACATTTTTTAAGACGAATTTAAAGCAGCCTAGTTTACTTTGTGTTGTCTTAATGCATTGTCATCATTACACCTTTCCCACTTTTATGAGGTGGCAGGGCATCAGGTTTGAGAAAATATAAGGCAGTATAGGCTAGAGATATTTTTTTTAAATAACAATGCCACCCCATCATTTCACCAACTCTTACACACAACACAGTACAGTATCCTGATGCGGCAGAAACACAACAGTACAACAAACCATCAACAGCAGTACCCCACAGCTTTATATGTAAACAGTAGCCCTTGTCAGTTGCCAGAAACAAAATGTAGTGCAGTGACCAGTGCAGTTGGCCCACAACCAAGTACAATACTTTGGTCAGACCATATCTACACATGCTTTCCACAAAGCCAGAGCAATATCCCATCCCGAGCATGACACCTTATTTCTCTTTGTATCTAATTTTGCTTGGTTGAGGGGCGAGTCTATCACTAGATACAATAATCCTTTTGACTATTTTCAGTCTCGTCTTCCTGTATCAACCTGGAGGAGGGACTCAAGATTGAGCATTATAATTTACAACAATGCTAGACGAATATGGTTTGATTAGAGACACAACATTTAAAATTGCAAAGGACATTCAGGTTCAGGGGAAAGACTGATATGTACAATAATTTATTTACAACTATTCTATGTACACACACAAAACAAACGGGAACTCATGTTACATATGTGTCAAGACAAAGCTGGGTCATAACAGTCTGGAGATGAATGTAACTGTCCCAACAAAGTGCTGTACATAGAGCAAGTGAGCAATAAGGTTATAATTGTACTGGGCAGTACTGAAGGATTATGCTCAAATAAGCATTATATATTATATAAAACTCCAGGTAATGAAATTAGGCAGATAAACAGATATAGTGAGAAATTAGCATTATTATGTATGTAAATGACTCCATGTGAAGAAGTATGATAGAGGAAACTTATGTGCTTATTACAGACAAATTCATGTTATAAACACACACCAAACACCAGCTCTGCACTCTCACTTAACTCTCTGAATATGTTTTTTTCTACCCTAAAGGGTCAGAGGCTCTTCACTGCACCATCTATCTTTCAGCTTTGACCTGATTGGCTTCTGATCCTTGCCACGTCTCGATGGCTGACCCCCTTCCCTTTCTAACGTGAGGTGGTAGTCTGAGGCATTGGTTGTGGATTTGTTCTGGTTTCTGTTCACCACTTCTTGGGCTCTGGTTCCTAGATATGAACATACATTTCTCTAGATAACGGGAACTATGTTTTCTTGATCAGTTGACTACAATCGACTTGAGAATGGTCCAGGACGGACCGAAACGTCGTCGTCCCTTCAACTTCTAGTGTGTGGTCTGGTCAACAAGTTGACTACAGTATATTGCTTGCCTTTTTTTTTCTCATTACATTCATCATTCCCATGATGGATAATAATGTTCCAGTATTTCTACACATTTAGTTCATTGTTCATATAGAACAGGGATAGTGTTCTGATGCACTGCAGGTTCCCCTCGGTGTCATCTTCCAGCCTCAGGCTCAGTGGGATTTGACAATGTTCCTGTTGAGGGATGGGACTTTTGTAGGAGTTGGATTCCACCATTTTTGGAATTGTCTCTCTCTCCTTTTCTGCTTGTGGTACCAGATTCCTGATTCCTCTATGTTGGTAGGCACAACTTTATTTTATTTTGTATTGTAGGTCACCAGTGCTCGTCTGAAGGGACATCCCAATGGTAGTATACCAGTTCCCTGTCCAAGTCTCTCCTATACTGAAACCTCTCATTTTGCAGAATTATAGATCTGACAGATGCAGTTCAGTTTCTGGACTTTCAAGAGCTTTTCTCCTCCCAGCCTTAGTCTGAGTGGCATTCACTGGTAGAAGTTGAGTGTATACCTGCTTTTATGTCTGCCACTAGCAGCAGGTGTGGCTCTGCTTAGATAATGTGTGGTATTGAGCCAGTTCCAGTGGTCTGCTGGGCATTCTCTTTTGTTTTCTTAATACTTTTTCTGTCACCCTTTTTCCTGAGGAAGACTTGTAGCCCATGTGGAAGAATGCAACATATATATCCATTTTAGATTCAGTCATCAAGCAGCACCCACATTTAGAAGGCAGCAGAGCTGTTTATAGCCTTTTCAGCTGTTTTTTCATGGTGAGATTCCAGTTATGAAATTGTGGGAGAAAAGTTTGTAGTTTTTTATTTTATCTACATTATTACTTTGCATCCACATTCAAGAGATTTTTGAGCATGAAGGGGTATGCAGCGGCCTAATCATTGCAAGCCTAATCCTCTCATTTTCCTGAGATAAAGTGACAATAACCCATGATAAGGATGATCCTCAACTTGTTAGAGGTTAATACCCACCTTCCTTGTCAAACCTTCCACATGCCTACCATGTCTGGAGTTTTCATTCCTGCTGTTGGGGACAGAAAGCCTGTATTTAGGTTCAACGAAGTCTCCCTAGGTCAACTACCAATTGTTGCCTAACTTTCAAGTACTGTACCTATTTGGTGCTAGTTGAACAGAAGCCTCAGGTAAAAAGAAACACGCTCAACTGTTTCTGTACTGTCTGGGGATTGAATCTGGGTCTCTCGATTGCAAGTTGAGGATGCATATCACTGTGATACAGGAACCAGTAGTATCCCTTCACTGGATCTCAAAGACAAGTTATGACCGATCCCCATCAATCTAATTCTGGCTCCAAATTTTTCTCCACTCATCCAGGTGATTCATTAAGAACTTTAGCTCCTGTGAACCAATGTCTTGCCTACCTCAATGACCAGCTAATTAGGGTTCTCAGTTATTTTCTTTGCTTGCCAAGGTCTTTGTTTTTACATGGGTAGTGCTAATCAAGGAGCCTAAGTCTCGGCTCTAAACACTGCTCTACTTGATCTAGTTGGGACTCTAAGGAGATACCAAAGTGGCCTCCATTTTTGTGCTGGAGTTTTTGAGTTAAACAGTATTTAACTCAGTTATTTAACTATATGCCCAACACCTTATTCCCTCTCTTGAACTCTGCATCAGGGGTTGCAAAAACCTGACACCTACTTGTCAAAATTGAGCTCGACAAATAAAATAACTACTATACTGTACAGTGTACCGTTATATCAACTCCTCAATCGACAGATCTTGGGTAGTGACTGGGCCTGGTATAGGGTTGACTCGAAAGGTGTCTTCGCAGAGAAACTAAACTCCTTAGAGACGCTAACTCTAGTAAAGGAACAGTTATCCAAGATATAAAAATCTTGTTTTTGCAACAGTCTGAATGTTGGTTTGACTAGTACCAGGCCGAGAGTGGGGTGGGCTCTTCCTCTAGAACTGGTGTTATTTGGTGGTTCAAAACTTTCCCAAAACACTTCTTGGAGGTAGTTTGGGTGACTTGTAGCCTTTCATTGATTTAAGGGCATTTTCCTCACTATTTATTTTGTTTCTGATCCCCATGTGCTCCCTACTGTGTAAAGGAGTTGAAGATTACAAAGGCCCTACACCCCAGGAGGCAATGAGAATTTCACAGAAGCTAATCTATCTGGTAATTGCCAGGACTGAAGCTCAGAGAAGTACTAGATTTGGTACACATGCTTTGTACACCTGACTGAAAAACACAACACACCCTTCTGGCACACCCACCTGGTACACTCCAAGTCCTCTGATGATAGGAACACACTTTCCATGGCTGAAAAACCAACTGTACACTCGATGAGTAAAAGCTATATCATGAGCAGCAGGAGACCAGCGCATTCTTTGAGCACTCCACAACTCTCGCCATCTTAGCAAACCTGCAAATTTTAAAATGCATTAAATGTAAAGATTCTTATATTTATAAAGTGATATTCTCATTTACATATTTAAAATTTTGTGAACTATACTGTATAAGTGTGAGGTAATGTAGGTGTTCTATCAGTCCTTTGGCCCTGAAGAGCAGTCGGTTCACAACCAAAAGGCCCTCGGTTCAATTATTGTACAGAGGTTTTGGGGAATATTTCCTTACACTTGAGGCCTCTGTTTACCTAGTGATTAAGTACATGGAAGTTAACTAATTGTTGTGGGTTGTATCCTGGAAAAGTACTCCATTAATCTAGGAACACCTCGATATGCCTAGTAGGCTGCTTGTGCCTGAGAATGGGAAATTCAATAATTATGAGGACCAATACGGGACTGAAAACCCATCTACACACGGAAAAACATACAGTACGTACAGTACTTATAAGTTGAACATCACGTTTATGATTAATAAGCAATGAAAACTCCGAGGTTACTAGAAGAGAACCCAGCTCTGATAAAATGAGCAGTCAATGGAGTTGAGGAAAATTTAATGTTCTTGGATTAAAATTGTTAGGACATTTCCCATAGAATATTGCTAGATTGGCACATAGACCACTCTGCCCTCTTCATGAGAGCCAAGAGTCAAGCATATACAATAAGACTACGACACGCCATAATGTGTTCACCTCACAGTGACTTAAGTTTCAACACATCCATAGTTTAATATATACTGTATGTGGACTGGTGTTTTCAAATATGTTCTCATATTGTTTCACTAATTCTATAATTGGTGATGGGTGGACAGATTTCTAACTGTTGTGTGTGCTAGTAGATTTTGAAATTCAAATGATTATACTGTACTGTTTTCAAGATACTTTTAGTCTGAATAAATGACTATTTTATTAAACAGTTGTGGGATATCATTTCCTCACATAGAAGCTTCATTGACTGGTAGATTTCTGCGAGTGGGAAACTATTATTATATATACATACTGTATATATTTAATACCTCTACCTGAAAAGTGATGCAATCTCTGACAGTTGATAATAGAATAATGAAATTCACAACAATAATAACCTTTATTACTCCATACTGTACTTACATTGTGGTAGTTCTGTGGAATTTCTGCTAACGCAGTGACCTACATTTAATATTAGGATTCTCCTATAGCACCTGAACCCTGATATTGATAAAACCCTGAAAAACTTAACACTGCATATATGCAAACTCCTAAAATAATATAAGGGATTTTAGGTCCCAATTCAGCACAGCACTGCACAATACAGTAGAATACCCTTAAAATTGACTGCTGGAAAGAATGTTGTCAATATTCACCTTATTCTGAATGCAGAAAGCAGCTTATATGATAAAGAGAGATGTACCTGATAGTATGTAACTACAAAACAACAGGACTGACATCTTACCCCAGAGAGCAGGATCATCGATACAGGAGTAATGGTTTGACACTGTCACAAGAGGTGTTCCTGATGGTCTGTTGGCAACCAACTCCTGTAGTTGCTCCACATTGTGCCCATTCACAGTGTTACACCATTCTGAAGATATATTTCAAGTTAATATTCAATTTCATATACGTATATCGTGGATTCTTCTAATATGCTTTTATTTTAATCTAACAATACAGTACAACATTCATTTATTAAGCACAATGTACACACTAAGTCAGGAGAAATAATGTCACATTATTTGCCATCAGTAATGACAAAGTTAAATACTGGAAGGAAAAAAATAGTGTTGAATGTAATGAAATACATTTTTTGGTGGGGACACCAACAGCTCCAGGAGCCAAATGTTGGTCGAGCAAAGCCTTAGGACAAAGGGGCCACGCTGGTGGCCCTGCAGCTCAAAACAGCTATGCAAGTCAGACCTATGGAAGAAAATGAGATGCCGAGCAAACCATATGCCTATAAACATCCTCAGAAAAAACAGATTGGCATGCATTAATAATAATTTATAAATGATTGGTGGAGGCAAGAAAGGCAGAGATAGTGAATAAAGAGATATGATGTGCATGCAAAGGCAATGAACATGAGTGCAATGAAGTAGTTTGTCACACATCTGGAAAAAATCTACATCTGGCATATAATTTAGGTGACAATTTACTCCAAGTACTTTACAACTATTTTATGCCACAGCCGAGATGCTGTTGTATAAATATCGCTAGTGTGAAGGAGGAACAGGCAGTGCTGTCTTAATGCATGGACACGCTGAGCAGATGCCTGTGTGCTCCATGACCATGGCCCATGCTGCCAGTGTTCATGAGAGATTGGTTGACAATGTAGATAATTACTTGACCTCTTGCTGGAAAGGTCTGGGATTCAAATACCTTTTCAAATTATATTTGTAATATAAATAATTTGTGCATAGCTATCTGATGGTAATCCTGCACTTTAAGGGACAGGCACAGTCCATTATCTGGGTAGGTTATCTTGATGAGGTTATCTTGAGATGATTTCGGGGCTTTAGTGTCCCCGTGGCCCGGTCCTCGACCAGGCCTCCACCCCCAGGAAGCAGCCCGTGACAGCTGACTAACACCCAGGTACCTATTTTACTGCTAGGTAACAGGGGCATAGGGTGAAAGAAACTCTGCCCATTGTTTCTCGCCGGCGCCTGGGATCGAACCCGGGACCACAGGATCACAAGTCCAGCGTGCTGTCCGCTCGGCCGACCTACTCCAATGGGTAGCACCCTAGTGCGCTGCTTTGCCCAGGGCCTACAATGCTGTGAAGATGGTCCTGGGTACAAGTTTCCTGAGAGTCTACTGTGAGTGAAAATATATAATACTCAGATGTACTGAATTTTAAAGATGAGGAATCCTTCCTGTCTCATCCACCTTGGGCACTAGGAGCCTCAAATATCCTTCCTGTATTTAACACTCATATTTTTTTTCTTCAGTACTTATCCAGACTTCCTGGGCAACTGTCTCCCCACCCAAAACTTTATGAAACTAAGTAATAATAATAATGCAACAATTCAAGTTCAAATCAATAATACAGCAGTAACACAGAAATAATTAGAGCTTCCCCATTTGTCTTCTATTGTCACTGTTAAAAGGACAATTAATCATTTGTTCATTCAACAGCATATTATGGTGTAATACATTACGCAAGTAAACTTCATTGCTTATAATAATAATGGAAAATATTAACATTATACAGATACTGTAAGATACAGTACGGGTACTTTTAATGGAATCCAGTTATACAATTACAGTATAGGAATTACAAATAAATGAAGTAAAAAATAAAATGACATATCTAATATTTTTATTTAAAAAAACCTCAGTAATTAAGTGGCACTCCTAAATTAGAATTTTACTGTGACTTTTTAATGGGTAAAACTATACTTCAGGGGACCCAACTTTTTTTTAAGATTTTAAATTATAATTTATAACAGTATCTAAGAGCTTGTGACCTGATTGGGTATGTGCTCTGGTAAAATTAACTGTCATCTAAGCTTGACATTTTAGAATACATCCATATAGTACATGATAGTCCAGTAGGACACATGCAGCACTGTAAACTTTACTGTATTTGTTTTCAACATTACGCATCACTTTGAGTCGAGACAAAAAATATCAATTTCAAATGCAAGAAATCCAGATATTATTACTCTTTTTTTTATTGCCTTTGCAATAAACATGGAAACAACGTTACAAAACATGTAGAAAGCTTTCAGGGTTGTTTATTTTCAATATTTACGTGAAATGAGAAAATCTTAAGCCCACTGTGGTCTAGTGGGTAATGCATATATCTGGGATGATCCGGGACATGAGCTCAATTGCATCACACTGTTCTAAAAGAATTTCTCATAGATATATCACTCTATTGTGATTTTATTGTGCATTTGCCTGACATTTTACTCTAGGAATATTCTAATAAAGGTACAGTAAATGTCTTCTTTCTAAGATACATCAGATGGGGGCAGATTAGAAAAGGAATCATTTGCTTCAAACCTACTTTTCCCAACTAACATAACTTAGTATATATCAAACATTGATCACAAAAGTGAAAACAGTCAGTTAGGTTCAGGCATCGTGATGATATCATTGAATGGAATCCCAACACACCAATGCTGGTAATTAATTTGCTAATTTCACTAATATGAGTACTTTATTTTGTAATAATCCTTTACTAAATATTACAAAATACAGAACTAATATATTATTATTCAGAGTACTGTATAACTTTAAATTTATAAGTTCTGCAGTGTATTAAAAATAACTAATAAATAGCATGATTAAGTGTGCCATTTAACATAGAGGTTTCATAATGAAAAAATCAAACAATAATTCCTTACCATGTTCGTTTCAATATGCAGTCAGGAGAGAACATATCCTCCAGACATTTTCACTGCAGGCTTCAGTTAATTAAGCTCATCAAATGCAGCCAGGACTTTAAGAAAGCAGAAATGCTGTTCAATCAACATAATCTATATATGCCTGTACTATCTATATCACTGACATACGGGACTCCTGCCCGAAACGCTTTGCGTAATAGTGGCTTTAGGCATTGTATGTACTAGCTCTATCTATTAATCCAACAAACTTTGTAAAATCTCTTGTATGTATGTACCTTACCTAAATAAACATTTATTTATTTATTTATTTACATGACAGAAATATCATCATGCAGCCTTTCAAAGCATAAGCTTCTAGTCTTGGTTTACTTCTGCTATACCAGCTTTCCTTACCCCTTCTGCAGATAACTGTCTAACTTGCTCCTCCCACAATATTGTTGTATAGCACTAATCCCCCTTTTATTTCTATATTTTTGTTCATATCATATCATTATTCTCTCTCACCATCCTTCATCTTAAGTACACTTCCCCATTAGTCATTCATCCGACCTATTCATACTGCTTACATTTCTTAAATAGGTAATTTGATCATCATATTTTAGAAGATTTATGCCTAATCTCATGTATGGCATATCCTTCACTCACAAAGGGTCAGGTATGTCAGGAATTTCTCCCATAATCTATCCTAAGGATTAAATTTTGGTTTCCCTTTGCAATACCTCCACTCATAATTGTATGTCCATTTGTTTGTGTTTGCATGGTACATATTTATTGCAAATATTTTAATTCCCACTTTAATATTTCAATCACACACTACTTTACAAAAATGCATTTCACAATCCTTTGGTTATTTTGTAGTACACAGTAAAGCCATTAATATACTACTCTTTAACTCTTCAAAGCCCCATTTTATGCTTACTGTATTTCAGTTATACATATAAATGCTAGTACTTTTTATATCCAACAATCATATAAGCATAAAGACTGTTTAGCACAGATCATGTCTTTCTCTTTAGCTCCAGCTTGGTACCTGCCTTATCCAGCTCCGAAACCTATTTTACAGTTGTAACTTAGTCTCCCATTAACTATTAGCAATGTTTTATTTCTAATTAAAACCTAAATTCGTTTCCTTCAAATTAGACCCTGATCAGTATATGCTGCTCCCAGAATATTTCTTGACTAGTGTGTCCTATACTCCCAGAATGTCTTGTGTAGTGTACCAGCTCCCAGAACAGACCTTGGCCAGTGTACCCTGCACCATCTCGAGGACTTGGAAGGAAACCTTGACTTGGGTGAGTAAGTTATTATCAAAAGCAGGCAGCAAGCCGGGAAGATTTGGGCGAGTAACTCAACACTTGACATCAGCCACGAGCCCATTGTTCACGTTACAATGTGCACTGAATTTTGCAACTAACTCATCAAGATTGCAACTTACTTGACTAAATGAACTGTCGGGTTCAGTCCCTCAGTCCATTTTGTATCTCTGTAACCCTTTCCACCGCCACCCACAGGATAGGTATGGGGTGTATAATAAACCAACTTAACTGACATCAGCCTCGCTACTTACGCAAGAGAATTTTGCTGAACGTTCCAACCAAGGGAATTATAATGTTACTCTTTACTCTGAACGAGAGAGGCGGGTCCTTCATATCAGGAAATGGCCATCCGTATTTAAGTTTCAAGTCCATCGTGTCGGGAGGCCCCGACGGTGGGGCTCTTTCGGCCTCGGCCATGGTGCAGGTGCCGGGCTCATCAGCTGCTGCAGTAAACAATGAAACGCACCGCTGTCAAACACATTTGCTAACTGTAGGTATATAGAATTGTCTCTAAATTCACGTATCTTTTCGCACTCATCAAGATTGTAACTTGCTTAGCTAAATGAATTGTGGGGTTCTGTCCCTGAGCCCATTATGTGCCTCTGTAACCCTTTCCACTACCGCCCACAAGATGGGTATGGGGTGCATAATAAATGAACTAAACTAACTAACTAACTGTAGGTAGTAACTAAGTGATTGTAACCTATCCACCGCTGCCCACTGGATGGGGGGCGGTGTGCAGGACAAACATATCAATTTTGACATTAGCTCTCCACATATGTCAGTTGCTTAATTTAGAACCTGTACTTGAGGTCGATCTCGAACCCATTGTAGATGTGACGACTTATATTGAATTTTGTAACTAGCTCATCAAGATTGTAACTTGCTTAGCTAAATGAACTGTGGGGTTCAGTCCCTGAGCCCATTATGTGCCTCTGTAACCCTTTCCACTACCGCCCACAAGATGGGTATGGGGTGCATAATAAATGAACTAAACTAAAAAAACTGTCAAACACAGGCTCCACTACACAAATAAATATATCAGTCTATAACTATTGAAACAAAGTAATATACAAATATAAAAAAGTGTTCAATGAGGACCCACAAGGTTTTCTCTGAGTACTCTTTATTTTCTTCTCCGAGGCTATGGGTCCCTATACTTGCACTAGAGGTGGTACCCCTTCTAGTTTTTTTAATATAAAAGTACATATAATCTAAACAAAGTACTAAATACTATTGGAACAAAGTAATATACAAATAAATATAAAAAAGTGTTCAATGAGGATCCCAAGGTCTTCTCTGAATACTCTTTATTTTCTTCTCCAAGGCTATGGGTCCTGTTGTTGTAAGGTTGCATCCTGGGGAGATCTCTAATTGAACTCGTCCACACAGCAAACCCATTACCATGATAAACCACATACCCTCACCCCTTAAACCACCTGGGTAGTTATCTAGATATTTGTGATGGTCTGAAAGCATATTACGGTTCCAGTAATAATTGTAACATGTAAATAGCAACATGTAAATTGACAAATGAACCTTTGTCGTAAACAGAGGTACATGTAATTCTGTTAACTGCTAATATCCGTCATGTATGAACTTAAAAGAAAAGTGTAGTTTTCTGTTTATTTAGTTAAAATTCCTTCTGCTGTTCTGTTGTATTTTCTGCATCATGTAATCATCAGAAATTATCTTTTTTGGGGGGGGGCTTCTGGCATTGTATGTACTAGCTCTTCCCGGCTTAGTGCCTTCTTTTGAGAATTACTTACTCTATCTAGAAATCCAACATTATTTACTTTATTTATTCAAGAGTTCTTACATTCTTGTACAGCCACTAGCACGCATAGCGTTTTGGGCAAATCCTTAATCCTAATATTCCCTGGAATACGACCCGCCAAATTGTTTAATTAACAACCAACAATGAATGATTAATCGTGATTCATTATTCATGTGATTCTCTAATTTATTAGAAGCTCTATGACCTAATTTCATAAAAATTAAGTCATAGAAGGTTTCTATGACCTAATTTCTAAAACGACTCAACTTTTTTTTATTCATGATTACTTTCCATACAACACTACTCATGGTAAATTCCGTCTTGCAGATTGTCTTCACCTTTTATTAATACAAACACAACAAACATTAACAATTACATGGGAAGAAAACTGGTACAAATATAAATTATATAAAACGAGAGAAGTTCACCAATGTTGCACAAATGTTGAATATCAACATAAGTGACTTCTCTCGTGTGGTGCAACCCATCCTTAGACTATGCATCTGAGCCAACACTCCTCAGGCTATGCAACTCTAAATGGAACGAGAAAATCTTGTTTGTTACAGCATAAGAAAAAAAAAACTGACGTTTGCCCTATTTTTTGTAGTCTTTCAGGGTTGTGCAGCTAGGACAGGCTTGGCTTGAGGTTGGATTGGTATTGTAGATATTTTAGTCTAAGTTTACTCTAAAAATTATTTGTGTGTTATTGTCTGTACGTTATTAAATATATATATATATATATATATATATATATATATATATATATATATATATATATATATATATATATATATATATATATTCGACTTATTCAAACCTTCATCAGAGCTGATGAAGGTTTGATTAAGTCGAAAGGTTGTTAATCTTTAAATTTTCACTGTGGTTATTCTGTATGTGTATCTATATATATAATATTAAACTGTCATGTTTGAGGCACGAGCTAGATGGTGGCCCGTAAGATACTTATTTGAATCTAAAAAGTGCCTGTTTTAAAAACTGATCGGCGGTTAAACTATCGTGGAAAAAGGTGGGGTTTGGCTGTATTGGCGGCGGTTTGTGGTGAAAAACTTTCTGCTCATCTGCGAACACAGTATTGCAAGTTGGTCCTTCCTGCAGGCTGCTGGGGAGACAAGTCCGGTGGCAGTCCTCAAGAGTCTTGTAGCTGGACTCGAGTCCCTCCTGTCCGCACCCGCCGTACACGAAGCAGTCACACTGGTCTGTCTCCGGGTTGTAGTAGAACCTGTCAACATTAAAACAATTGTCAACATTAACACAATTGCCAACATTAAAACATGGCGCTCTACAGGCGAACTTGGTTTGTTGTGACAAGTCTTTGTTGTCTCTCATGATAACGATGACTCAATATACAAGCATGTGTGTATTTACTATTTGTGTCTGAAGAATCCAACTATTAGACCCTGCCTTTCTAACCAATAAATTTTTCCTCTATTATATCTGTTACATATATATCTACCACATGCACACACACACATCCCCAGGAAACAGTAGCAGCTGTCTAACTCCCAGGTACCTATTTACTGCTACGTAACAGGGGCATCACGGTGAAAGAAACTGCCCATTTTGTTTCTGCCATCACCGGGGATCGAACCCGGACCCTAGGATTACAAGTCCAGAGCGCTGTCTACTCAGCTATCAGGCCCCCACACAGAAATGTGTGTGTGTACTCACCTAGTAGTGTTTGCGGGGGTTGAGCTCTGGCTCTTTGATCCCGCCTCTCTAACACAACATCATCGTCATACAAAGTCTGCAGACATACTTTTTGCCCCTACGACAAATTCAAGAGTTTAAATAATTACCTGGGGAAGGCTCCTCTGCATTCTCCTGGCGTGGGTTTCACTCCACACAAATGGTGACGACGACGGCTTGGAGACCCGCCGCTCTGACCAGGAATGAACTCTTTGTCAGCCCTACCAGGTTGGAAATTGGGAATATTTGGTTGAGATACTGGGGTTACCCGGTCATTTTCAGCGTGTTGGGGACGACTAGGCTGTTGAGTGCCTGTAAATCCTTGGCCACTCTCTGATGTTTGGGGACGACTAGGCTGTTGAGTGCCTGTAAATCCTTGGCCACTCTCTGATGTTTGGGGACGACTAGGCTGTTGAGTGCCTGTAAATCCTTGGCCACTCTCTGATGTTTGGGGACGTCTAGGCTGTTGAGTGCCTGTAAATCCTTGGCCACTCTCGGATAGTTGGTTACGACTAGGCTGTTGAGTGCCTGTAAATCCTTGACCGTTCCCGGATGTTTGGGGACGTCTAGGCTGTTGAGTGCCTGTAAATCCTTGGCCACTCTCGGATAGTTGGTTACGACTAGGCTGTTGAGTGCCTGTAAATCCTTGACCATTCCCGGATGTTTGGGGACGTCTAGGCTGTTGAGTGCCTGTAAATCCTTGACCACTCCCGGTTTCTTGACGGCGCTCAGGCTGTAGCACCTCTCGGAAACTTTCACCAATTCCTGGGCTTATTTGACTATTTCCAAATTGAGGATTAAATTGTTGTGGAAAGGGTGTTACAATACTGCCAATTTGTATATTACTAATTGGCTGTTGAGTTCCTGCGAATCCTTGACCACCTAGACCTTGCTGTTGACGATTAGGCTGTCGAATTACTGGAGGTGTTTTGCCATTCTCGACTAGTCGAAAATTACCTGGTTGTCTAATTATTGTGACGCCTTGATTATTCCCAAATTGTTCAGTATTGGACTGTCGAGGTGCTTGGCCAATTTGTCCATTAGCCTCTAGAAATCCCTGGAGAGAAACAGCTGGCTGCGGAAAAACAACTGACCTCCGGGGAAAATTTGTCGGTTTTGGAAAAATAACCTCATCGCTGTTTTCATCGCGATTCCTCTGAGGACGGCTCGGAAAGTACATCTGAGAGTCCACCAGCCCCAGCAGCGCCGCTAGCAAGAGGGCACTGGTCTTCACCGCCAATTTCATCTGGAAAAGAAAGAATAGGTATTTTATTTAGGCAACTTCCTTCCGATTGTATTGGAAATCGTGTACTTAAAGTAGTAATTATTATACTTCTCTGAATTACTTTCTTAAAGTGATATCCACACATTTAATAACTTCGAGATATAATATAACTTCATATAATAATGTTTGTTTTCATATACAGAGGCATAAGATGATTATTAAAATTCTTTGTTTATAGACTATGTTTATTACACCAGCACAGCACACAACTATCTCCAACTGCTGTAAATTTAGCATTGCATCAAATTTAACAAGAGACCTCTTGGTTTAATAATGAATTAGATATACTTAAGGGATATGTGATGTTACAATAGTTATTGACCTTACAAGTTACCAAACTCACGGATACATATTTACTACTAGGTGAACAGAGCCTTAGGCGAAAAGAAACTTGCCAAACCATTTTTGTCCCGCCGATGGTTCGAACCTGGGATCCTCACTTGTGAAAGAAGACTGTTAAAAGTGATTGTGGACAAAAATGAAGTTATCGTCGAGGCCAGAAGAGGAACGTATGTTAATGATGAAGTGTTGGAAGTGATCAAATAGTTAAATACCTGGAGATTGTGACTGATACAAAGAAGAATTTGTGCCTGCGAAGATGAGAGAATGGCCAGTCAAGGAAGGAGAGTAACTGGTGCAATGAATGCTTTGGTTAGGTAAAACAAGGTAGGAATAAATGCGGCCAGAGGAGCGGTAGTGCACTCTAGTGTATGGTTGTAACACGATGGCGCAGTATCAATACATAACCCGATAAGCACGTATGGTGTCAGGAGAGTAGATGTGCAGAAGTCAGTGATCCGGAAGAGTGTGGAGAGCGTACTTAGATGGTTTGAGAATGGCTAGGAGGAAGATAGGCGGACATGGTGAGCGTGAGGAAGCACCATCTACATTAGTTGTCCGAAGTCAATAAATATGGACGATGTTACAAATAACATTTCTGCTTATGGCAACTGTAATCATGAGAGAGGTGAGCGAATCCCGTCTGGTAATTATTGTGACTGTGGAGGATTGTTTAGTTTGTTCATAAATCGATGTCTATAAAATAGATTGTTTGCCTAACCAAAGTAGGCCAGACACTTGAGGCTAGTCTCATCCAACTTGCCAAAATGCACATAGTGTGTGTAATTACCTAAGTATGACTACCTAAGTATAGTTACAGGATGAGAGCTACGCTTGTGGTGTCCCGTCTTCCCAGTACTCTTTGTTGTATAACGCTTTGAAACTACTGACGGTTTTGGCCTCCACCACCTTCACTTATCTTGTTCCAACCGTCTACCGCTTTTTGCAGAAGAAAACTTTCTAATATTTTTCAGCACCTTTGTTTCCTTAGCTTGAATTTGTGTCCTCTTGTTCTTAAATTGCTGGTTTCATGAATTCCTCTTAGTCAATTTCGTAGATTCCTGTTATTATTTTGTAAGTGGTGATCATATCACAAATTTTTCTTTTATTTTCTAGCTTTGGCATATTTAACACCTCTAGCCTCTCCTCGTAACTCTTTGTTTTTCAGTTCTGTAAGTCATTTTGTAGCATGCCTTTGCACCTTTTCCAGTTTATTGATGTGCTTCTTGAGATATGGGCACTATACAACTGCTATGTACTCATCTAGTTGTGATTGCGGGGGGGGGGGGGGTTGAGCTCTGGCTCTTTGGTCCTGCCTCTCAACTGTCAATCAACTAATGTACAGATTTCTGAGCCTACTGGGCTGTGTGTGTGTGTCATCGATCAGTTGTGGTCGGCCCCAGTGCCACATTTTAAGAAATATCAGGATTCATAGCGACCCCCTGCAATTTTCCTGAAGTCTGAAATTGGATATGTGACTTTGAGAGAGAGGGATGGCGGGGAGAGGGAAGAAGAGATGTGGGAGAAAGGTGGAGAGGGTGGGAAAGGAGGGAGATATGTGAAGAGGGGTGTGGTGGGGGAGAGGTGCGAGAGAGGGGGGAAATATGGAGTGAGAACAAGGGGAGAGACCCGGGCACAAGCAGGTACCCCCATACAGAATTCTATAATACACATGGAGCAATCACGTGTACCAGTATATATATATCACATGTCAATATGTATCACATGTCAGTAACTATGACACCACATGTTAACAACATGTACTATAGGGCATTATGTAATCAAACGTGTACACAACAGGGCAGCAGCAGCATGTACAGCAAGACGGTGGCTACAGGTTTCCCCCAGAGATACCCAACACACCCGTCTAACACTCACTGGGACTTCCAAGTTGGGTTGTGAAGCCTCGCTCTAAATAATATCCTGTAATATGCTCCACAGGGGGAATAAATCATTACAAATCTACATTTTTTCTAAGATGTTAATAACGATATAAGGCAAAGTAGCCCAATGTCCTTGGCTACTACTTCTTCTTCCTGACAATGAAAGATTAGCTATATCCTACGCTCCTGGAAGGGGTGTTAGGGGGAGATAATTAATAGCCTAATCATTCCCCTAAGCCAGCAGATGTGGTGGTAAGCTATACTCACATCTGCGATACGTTGTGGAGCAGAGATAGAAGCGTGTGGGGTCTGCGAGCACTGGAGACACACTGCCACTGCAGTACAAGGGGCCGGGATATACACTGACTGGACCTGGGCTCCTCACCTGGGGATGTACCTGGGAAACCCACCATACTGTTCCGTCCGCTGGCTCTGGCTTCGGCACACGACTCTCATCACACTTTATGGAAAATTATCGCTCAAAACCACTTTTTAAATGATACGGCATCATAGCTGTTAAGATTTTGATCATATTATGTGTGTGTAAATATGTAATGTATGTTGTGGATATATGTAATTTCACGTTTATATATTCTATGGACAGTTGCCAAAGATTGCTGGATAGTGAGACTTGCTTTAAGTAATTTAAATATTTATGATGTAACAAACTATACAATTCTCCTGGGAGGATAAGGAAGTATTGCAGTCGTTTTCCCCAATGTTTAATTATTATTATGGATGACATTAAGAGTTTATGTATGGAAAGGAAGCCGCCTCACAGGCTCCAGAGGCTGGCGGATGCTACATGTAAATAACATTCTTACTGAGAACTTTGATAGCTTTCATTCACAGGCAATCGACGAAAAATTTTCCTGTCAGTCTGTCTCGCGATGAAAATAATATTATGGAGACTTGTTTGTTTATACTTTATGTCATCTGCCTCACCCCCACCTCTCTCACTCTCTCTTTCCATTTCCCTCTCACTTTTTTTTTTTATTAAGACTATGGTTCATTAGGGCTGTCGAGTGAAGTACCTAGTGAAACTGCATGCAAGAGCTGTTATCCTACTAAAAAAAAAGAACCCCATCAACCAGGTAGCCTAGGAATTCTCTGTTCAATGTTGTTTAATATTAGTGCATATGTCCATAGTGTGGGGAGGTACTAAATATGTCCATATTGTGAAGATGTACTACATATGCTCATTGTGGGGAGGCATTTGCAGCTTCGGCGGGTATTCCATTGATTTATAACCCTATGGGAGTACGGCTGAAAAGGAAAGTGTTTTGTCCTACATTGTGACTTGTTAAACATGAAGCTGTTGCCCGGTGTATGCGTTACATTGGACCTTTCAAAAAAGTTGTCAGGTAATTTATTAAAGCTTCAGCATATTCAGTCTGATGATTTTAAAGTTTCAATATATTCATAATAATTATGGATAAATAGTATAATAACTTTAAAATTCCAGTAACACGTTCTTAAGGTTAAGCTAGCAGGAAACTAATCTTCAGAGCGAGGCTTTGATACGTCAATTATATTTTTACCATAACTGACTCCTGGGTCTACACTCAGTCTTCCTGTTCCTGACTTGACATTAACGGAACCAGTCTCTTTATATTTCTTCATCCAGTTTCTTACTGAATGACATCTTCCCCCTGTCTCTACTTGAATGGCATCTCCTCCTGGTATTGGAAAAATATTTACTATATAAATAATGCTAAGCTTTCATTTATTGCAGAAGGTGTAGGCCAGAAGTGAAACCCAGTGTACCAATCTGGGATATCCCCTGGTCTAGGAACCTAAGGCACGGAATCTTGCTATGAACAAACAGTTAACACTAAAGATATAATTACATCCTGTGTGTGAAGTGCAAGAACGCTTCGCTCTCTTGAGTCGCTTCCCTCGCAAGCTGGCATTCGATGTCAACTCACTTGGAAATATTATTAAGAACTTCCTTGAACTTCTTGGATAAGGTTAGGTAATAGTTTGAATTTGTGTTTTCCTTATAATAGCCGTCTTCTTGTCTTATTGATTTCCCTATCTTATGGCATTCTCCAGGTCTTATACCCTAGATTGGCCATGTAATGTAACTATATAACCAGAGCTTGTAAAAGCATCTTAATCACCTTCAGTGGTTAAGTTCTTAATTGCACACTAGTTTCTCTATCAGCTATCTCACCCTGTCAGAGTAAAAGAGACAAATATATGTATATGTATGTGTGTGTATGTATGTATGTGTATAAAGTATATGTGGAAGCTGATCAGAATTACATTTCACCATTGTAAATTCACATTAACGCATTCATAAATCTGGGTATCTATGTAATTTACGTATGTAGCTTAGCCTAGCATTTTAAAAGCACTACAATCACCTGTGGTTGTTCAATAAATCTCTGAACTGTATGTTTGACAAATCTCTCACCCTGTCCATGGAGGACAGAAGAAAATGTATATATTCTGGTTAGCATTGTAAATGTGTGGCCACGTCTGTGGTAGAAAATAATAATAAAAATAATAATAATAATAATAATAATAATAATAATAATAATAATAATAATAATAATAATAATAATAATAATAATAAAAACAGTCAATAGCCCCTATTAAACAGTCGAGTAAGTGCGTACATGAGGCAGAGTTGCCAGTTAGAAGCACTGGGGGGGGTAGGAGGGTTGGCCCAGTCTCCCGCAGGTATTCCCAGGACTTTAGCCTGGCGGGACGGATTGGCTTCGTCGTGTCGCTAAGATATTTAGTAATTAGAATGCTTGCAAAGACAGCTTGTAGAAAACCAGTAGTAGAATTGATATGGGTGTTTCACTAGAAGTGACAAAGAGAATACTTAAACAAATATCTAATGAAGATCTCACCGACCTAACAAATTCACAAAGATCTGAAAGTTGCAGTATTAAATATTATGATAGATATCGTGGAGACATTGACATATGGGACTAATAGAGCAAGAACTCGGTAATGTGGTCATAGTGGCCAGAATACGCCTGGGATATAGACGTATCTGGCAGCTTTCTCAAAACCCGAATGTCGAGTTCACAATGTGTCAACTTTGTGAAAGAGAAAACATGCACTCACTTGAACATTATATTGTAGAATGTCCCATATTGTCTGACTTTCGCCCTCCTGGCCTGAGGTATGCTGAACTCTGTAACTACTATATGAGTACTGGAATTGATGATATATTGGACTTATACCCTAGATTAACCATGTAATGTAACTCTATAACCTGAGCTTGTAAAAGCATCTTAATCACCTTCAGTGGTTAAGTTCTTAATTGCACGCTAGTTTCTCTTGTCAGCTATCTCACCCTGTCAGAGTAAAAGAGACAAATATATGTGTATGTATGTGTGTGTATGTATGTGTATAAAGTATAAAGCTGATCAGAATTACATTTCACCATTATAAATTCACATTAATGCATTCATAAATCTGTGTATCTATGTATTTACGTATGCAGCTTAGCCTAACATTTTAAAAGCGCTACGATCACCTTCTGTGGTTGTTCAATAAATCTCTGAACTGTATGTTTGACAAATCTTTCACCCTGTCCATGGAGGACAGAAGAAAATGTATATATGCTAGTTAGCATTGTAAATGTGTGGCCACGTCTGTGGTAGAAAATAATAATAAAAAAAAAGTAATTAGAAATGTTGGTCTGTATGATTTGATTTATTTTTATTTGGTTTACTGTCGTGGTGGTAAGTAGATGACGGGTGCATCACCTAACTTTAACCTTAGTGGTGCAGTGGATGACATGGGTCACCCAACAGTTGATGCTTGGTGCCCTCCATCTGTTGCTGCTTGGTGATCTGTATCTGTTGCTCTTTGGTGGCCTTCATCTGTTGCTGCTTGGTGATCTGTATCTGTTGCTGCTTGGTGACCTTCATCTGTTGCTCTTTGGTGACCTTCATCTGTTGCTGTTCGATGACCTTCAGCTGTTTCTGCGTGGTGACCCTCTTGACAGAGGGTATCCTATAAAAGTTTAAATACACGAAAAGTTATTTAATATTTTGATATACAGATCTTTTATTCATTAGAGAATGATAATCAGACTAAAAACTAGATCATGAAACGAAAAAGTTACAATATCAGTAAAGAGGAAAATACATTTGCTGTATTTCCCCTAGTCCAGGCGACGGTGGGAGAATTACTGTGTTTCCCGGTGAGTGGGAAGTAAAAAAAAAATTCTTTTGAAACCCATTCCGCCCCCCACGAAAAATGATTCTTTATACGATGGCGAATCCTGACCGCCAAAAATATTCGCCGGACCTCCCACCACTAAAGGTCACGTCCTCATCGGTGAGTTTTTTCTGCTATTCACTGGAGGGTTACTCAGCCAAGGACAGACATCCTTGGTGGACGAAGCCTAACGTGTTCTGATTTCCTTAACTATGGCACGATGCTACCTATCGCGTCCTAGCCTCATGTGGACGCAACCCATTGTGCACTCCCTCAAATCTCCTCACCTGTGGCACTCATTCGAGGGACCCGGGTCCAGTCTCCGGACAGGAGGGAAACGATTAGGCACGTTTCCTTATATTTAATGTCTGTTAGCCTAGAAGTAAAATAGATACCCAGGAGTAACTCTTCTGTTGTGTAACTCTTAGTCTAGAGGGATCTCGATAAGCCTAAGTACAGATCTTTTGTCCCGGACAGCGGGAATTAATTAATTGATCTTACTACTGAATAACTATATAAATGACGGAGGGGAAAAGAGAGGATAAGGGAGTTATCTTCTCTAGATATGCAAGCAGGTTCTTTATCAGTGTATCAGTGTCTGCAGGAGAGAGACAAATGGCTGAATTATGTGGTATTTTAGCCTGCCATCTGCCTCCTCCCCATCGTAGGCAGTGTGGTCCAGTGCTAAATTAAGTGCTGCCGACTCCTTATCTAGAGCTGTGACGGTGTTTCATAATTCAGCACCCTTCAGGAACTCTCAAGACGTCTTCGCCGAAGTGTCATAGGCTTCAGTTTGTCAGAGCAAAGTTTGAAGGGAATAATAGCCATTTTCTGTACTTTGGAGGCATAAGCATCCAGAAAATAACACTACCTAGGAATTTTTTGTTTACAGTGTAACTGGTTTTTAGAGTTTAATTCCAGTAAATGTAAGTACGCGGCTGTTGGTTATGGTGGGCAGGCGGAAGATACCACCTGCGAGGGTAAACATCCCCAGAAATTGCACAAATAACGAAACTTGGGGACAAACTTTGTCACGAACGGAGATCTTTTTAAACAATACATTGTGAGATTTTTATGGCACAAGTTTTTATTAGATATATCAATTATTAAACTGTGGTCAAGTCAAATAATACTCATTGCGTTCTGTCAACCTTTGTGAACACCTTGAGATTGTGAAAAAGTTGTTTCTCATCCTGTGAGAATCAGATATTACTGTAAGCAGTTATAGCTTGTTAAATTTTGATTGATAAAACGTGAGATGAGGCTTGTAGAGAGAGGGGTGGGAGGGTCCTTATTTTCCTAGTGAGGTACCATTTTGCGTGGCGCCAAAGCATGTTTTTTTGTATATCTACGGTCCCCAAGGTCGAACTACTGACCTTACCCAATTCCCGGGTACCTATTTACTGCTACGTGACAGAGATATTAAGTGAAAGGAAACGTGCCCAATTTTTCCCATTAAGGTTGTGAATTGGAGAGAAGATCCGGTTAATTCATTAATTTGTGTAATAAGTACAGTTTCATAAATGAATAGTACATAGTGGCACTGAGATGTCACTGTGCATATATGACATGTGATATAGACAAAATGTGATATAGGTTGTGATGGATATTATTCCCTTCAAACTTTGCTTTGACAAACTGAAGCCTATGACACTTCAGCAAGACGTAATGCTGTATCCTGATTAATGCTTCCTATATATTCCTTAAAATTCCGTCGGTCAATAAACATAGTTTTGATTTTTTTATCTTAATTATTCATTATTGTTTGTCAGGATATAGATGCTATAAATTTGCCTTTTCAAACGCATTCATACGTGGGTGGTTTCACTAACCTCTCACTTCCATTTCCTTAGACAACAGAGAAAGTCAACTATGAATCTTTTACTTTAAATAAAGATTACACCAAGGTCAGAACACGAGACTCTGTAGGATGACACCTTGACCCCACACAGTAGGAAAAGTGTTTTTTGGCAGATGTTGACTTCTGGCTGGTGTTGACTTCAGGCAGGTGTTGACTTCTGGCTGGTGTTGACTTCAGGCAGGTGTTGACTTCTGGCAGGTGTTGACTTCAGGCAGGTATTGTTATATAAACACAGGAGTCCTTGTGTAAGAACACAGCCCCGCTCCTGTGCCAGGAAGTCCACAACGGGCTCACCATAGCCCATGCTACTTGGAACTTTTTGTTCCCAGTAGCTGAATCTTAAACAACAACACTGTGTAAGACACGTGTCTTGAGAGCGTGTGGCTCCACGGTAACGTGGCTCTAATTAGGTAGATAAAGGCAACTGAAACAGCAAGAGACATCATAATACCCGCCGGACACAATACTATAATCATGATGGCCAAGCCACTCATCAGAAGATGGAGAAACGACGACGTATCGGTCCGTAAATCGGTCGAATCAAGTCGTATTGTTTCTAATTTTGCCATACGTGGGCGAGTAGTAAGCAAACCCAGCAAGTAAAGTACTGACTCAGGTATTCCCCTGGTTACTAAGGTATCGTGGCTCAGGTATTCCCAGGCTGCTGCTCCTGCATTACTCTCTTTCTGGGAGTGTATGAGGCTATTCTCGGAGATCGCGGGCGTGGCCGGTTCTTGGTAAGGGTAACAATGTAGCACCTACGTGGCCTAGTTCATAGAGAAATGGATAGTAGGATGTGTTAGACAGGAAGCCGGTAATACCCAAAACCAGACTCTCGCACGCACACATTTTTCTATATTTTGTTATTTATTTATTTATATATACAAGAATTCTTACATTCTTGTACAGCCGCCAGCACGCATAGCGTTACGGGCAGGTCCTTAATCCTAATTTTCCCTGGAATACGGCTCGCCAAATCGTTTAACAACCAGGTACCCATTCACTGCTGGGTGAACAGAGGCTACAGTTGGGGATTGGCGCTCAGTAAATCCTCCCCGGCCAGGATACGAACCCAGGTCAAAGCACTCGCGATGCGCCAGGCGAGTATTTAACCACTGCGACTGCCGTGGCTTGACTTAATAGTAAATGAAGACGATGAAGGCGGCAGAAGAATGAAGTGGTGTAAGATGTACACTTTGTGAGAGAAGACTTCTGGGGCTACACGCTGCTACGGGGGAGTGGGGGAGGGGTAGCAGTGGCTATTGGGGCCTCACGGCTGAGTGAACAGCACTTGGGGGTCGCAATCCTAATAGCTCGGGTTCTATTCCCTGTCAGGCAGGGAAACAAATGGGCAGAATTTATTTCATCTCATATCCCTGTTAACCTATTCAATTAGGTACTGCTATAGACTGCATCCGGAGGATGTGTGTGTGTAATTACCTAAGTGTAGTTACAGGATGACAGCCACGCTCGTGGTGTCGCGTCTTCCCAGTACTCTTTGTCATATAACGCTTTGAAACATGTGTGTGTACTCACCTATTTCCCACCCTCCTGCAGAGGGTGGGAAGGGTGGGTTACTATTCTTGCAGGGGGTGGGGAGGGTGGGTTACTACTCTTGCAGGGGGTGGGGAGGGTGGGTTACTACTCTTGCAGGGGGTGCAGAGGGTAAGTACGAAAAGTGTGCCGTAATTTTGACCTTCAAGACTCCTTCCTTGTTATTCTTTTGACGTCATAACATGGAGGATGTGTGGGATCTTGACCATCGACTGTGAGAGTTACTCCTTGTTTCCCGTGTTCTATTTCCCAGGGCGCTTTGTTGTTTTGGTATAGATTTAAAAACATATAGATAAATATAGGAAGTCTGGCTAGATACTAGCATCATGAGGCCATTATAGAAATGTGTTTGGGGATAATTATCAGAAGCTGTTTATGGAAAATTATATTAATTGGTATGTAGCAATCTATACTAAACATTAAAGGTAAGGTGAGTAATGAGGGGAAACACAGACATAGACAAGGGATGTTGCGTGTGCAGCTAAGTACCAGTTCATAAGGACCAAAGTCACGAAATATGGTAAGTTAAGAGTTTCTCAAGCAGTGACCTGTGGCCCCATGGAGCCTGGAACACGGATATGAGTAGCTGGCCGCCTCGCCTCGCTCCCTCAGGATAAATCCAGTGACTAAAGTCACGTACACTGTGGTGACATGACTGTGTGGTGACGTGACTGGTGAACGGACGTGGTGGTGGTGGTGGTGGAGATGCGTGACATGAAGTGCTTAGAAAATCCTCTTAATTTACCTGATTGTCACCATTCCAGAGAGGCGACGTCGGGAGCAATTAGAAGCCTCTGACCAGCGAAGTCCCTCTAATGAGAAGTTTCTTCATGTGATCTCACTTCAGGGGGCTAGAAATAGCCTAAGCTACTCTATCCCTTTAAGATGTATTTTTTTCTTGTCTCAACAAACATACTTGAACTTGAACGTCACTGGGCACAATATTTCTCTTGAATATTATGTCCAGTGGATGCTGCCTTCACCACCGCTGCTGGTAGCCTAGTCCCTGGCTACTGCGATATCGTTGACGAAGACCTTGAGAAAATCTTTGACATTCTTGAGAACATATCCATCACCTACAGACTCAATCCGGACTTCCTGCCCTAGAGGCTGTTGATGCTCAGAATGTGACTCTCCCTAAACCCCGGCAGGGTAGTTCCCCGCTGGAGGTGTGCGTGCTGGTACCTCGTACTCCATCCCCTCAACTTCTTCAGCAGCCACGACTCTCAAAATGAATAAATAACAATTTGGTATTTATTCCACAGTTCTATTTGCCTATTTGCCCCACTCCTGCGCCAGGTAAGTTACGGGCTCACCATAGCCCGTGCTACTTGGAACTTGTTCCGAGTAGCTGAATCTATAACAACAACACAACAACCTAGACTACCGGAAATATTCGAGTGGAGTCCTACAGCTTTATCGTGTGACGTCATGTGTGATATAAGAGTCGAACTGCCCGAAACGCTTTGCATAATAGTGGCTTTAGGCATTATATGTACTAGTTCTATCTATAAATTCATCAATATTTGTATCACCCCTTGTATGTATGTACTTTACCTAAATAAACATTTGAATTTGAACTAAACGAAGCCTCTGCCACTGTACTTCGCTACGCAGAATACTGTATGCCACCTGTTGATGGCGTGGCAAACCAGAGTTCACCATGGATACCTTCCTGGGCTTCCTCAGTGTTTCCCCGGGAATATACCCGGCTGGCTCTTCCGCAATTAGGTCATATTCTCCCCACCTACATAATATACCCCACTGGGTATAAATACTTAGGAATAACTTTATGCTTTTGTTTTATTCTAAAGTTATAGAGACATATTATTAGTATTTTATATCATGGCATGGGTGAAACCGGTATATTTTAAGACTGGGTTGGGGGATCTTGTCTTACCACTACAGCCTCGACGGGGGGACAGGAGACCAGCGACTTGTCATATGTCCCCCCCCCTCATTTTCAGTGCATTTTCTTGAGGATTTTGTCCATCTTTCGAGACTACACAACAATAACCTTCTGTACTTGAACCTCAGCACTACGGAATTTGAGGCCTCGTCTCGAACGATGACGTAGGTTCGAATCCTCGTCACGGCCCTTGTGGATTTGCTCGTCTCGAATTGTAGACGAGGCACCTCGTCCACAAGGTCATTCTTGGGCATTATTGATGCCCAATAATGGTCATCAACCACCGTAAACTACCTCAAGAATGGTCATCAACTAACCATCCGACCGAGCGGACAGCACGCTGGACTTGTGATCCTGTGGTCCTGGGTTCGATCCCAGGCGCCGGCGAGAAACAATGGGCAGAGTTTCTTTCACCCTATGCCCCTGTTACCTAGCAGTAAAATAGGTACCTGGGTGTTAGTCAGCTGTCACGGGCTGCTTCCTGGGGGTGGAGGTCTGGTCGAGGACCGGGCCGCAGGGACACTAAAGCCCCGAAATCATCTCAAGATAACCATAAACTTCCTCAAGAATATGCCCTCCCCCCAACCCTCCCCCCGGCATATGGCTTGTGCTAGATCAAACGATCTCTTCCCAGCTTCCCGTACGCCAATAAAACTCTAAAACATAGTTGTAATAATTATTTTGAGCGTAATAAATAATAAATATGTTAAAAATATTGCTGTTGAAAGGATACATATGTGTGTATGTGTGTATACAGGATAAGTTAATAAGTAAATAATATGAAGTAATGAAAGTGTCGAGGTCGAGGAGCGTCGCTGGTGTAAACAATGGCTGACGGCGGCCTGAATTTTCAGCGAATTTTCACCAAAGTTCAGTCAACTTTGCCACGCTGCATTGAAGATGCCGATGCACTGTCAATCACAAACATCTTTTCCACTAAAATAACGTAAGGGATCGTTGTTAGGTTATGTATATTGGTTATGGTTGGAGGAGACTGGTGTACCGAGGCTGGTCATAGGCACAGCTCGTGGTGGTAAACCTGTCTTATGTGTGGGTGTTTGTACTCTAACACTGAACGGTGGGAGTCGCACCATAACCTGTAGTATGGGCGCCGTGAACCTGAGTTGATAAAGGATTTAAAATTTGGTTGTTAATTGTCTCCTGTCTGGCTTCCCAAAGGCTTGGGAGAGGGATGCTGCTCTGGTCTTGCTGAGGTCCCCACTAGGTTCCACCCTAGGTCCCACTATAGGTCCCCCTAGGTCCTACAAGGTTCCCCTAGGTCCCACTAGGTCCCCTACTGACCCAGCCCAGGATGTAACCCCACAATAATTGCCTAACTCTCGGATACCTATTTACCTGATGATAAATAAATGCTTGGTAAACATTTATTCAATGTTGATCAGAGGCACGAGGTGTATTGAACCTTTCATACACCACATTCTTTGCATACTTATTTTAGTTAGGAACCAAAATTCTTGATTTTATACATCTTTATTTTTATGATCAAAATATTATTTTCCTATAATTCTCATAAGACACGTGTACCTGGATGTCAAAAATATTAGTCACAAATATTTTCTCAAATGTTTGTTTGTGGATATCTACAGACAGTGTGGGAAATGGAATACAGAACATACTTTATTATGAATTTGTTGTGTATTTGCTTATTTTTGTTTATACTGGTAGAGTATCTGGACAAGATCCAGTCCACAAATACACACACTGGCCCCACCGGAGCTCTTTCCATGTATTTTCTTGTGGAGCCAAAGTTGACCACTGAAAGTTGTGTATTTTGTTGCATCCGGCATTCCAAAATGTTGTGTTCTACTTTACCAGGAGTCGAGTGTAATGGTACTGAATTTTATATTATCATATACAGTACTGTATTGTAATTATTGAGCATTAATTTAACACCTCATGGGTTATTTAAGTTTTTTTTTAATTATTTTTACTATTTAGAATACTAGGTTAATTTGCCAATACAGTATTATTTTAATACAGTACAGTATTTTGTTTCCAGTGAGACAACAAAGCATTGTGTTGAGGCTGCAATCCGTAACTATGTAACTAAGAAGGTTATCGATGGGGAAGCAACAGACCTGGCCACCATCACAGCTATTACATCAGTAAGTGCATTATTATTATGGCATTAACAAATAAATAATTATTAGAAATGTAATGCCATAAGTATTTGAAACTAAAGCACAGTTGCAATATTTACACTATTCCTTCACAGTGTAAAAATTATATTGTACTGTAGAGTAGAAGCAAACCATGAGCTTAAAGGTATGAAAACTTTGTCAGTCATGATACACTTCATCTAAACTTTTCAGGTATGCATAGACTTAGTGCGTCATGAGCTAAGCCTCCCAACCTTGCCAGTTTTGGTTCTCACCGACTCCTTTGACATGCTGACTATCAAGCAATGCGAGTTACTTTTTTCCTTTGTTGAAAGCAATGTAGGTGTTTGGAAGGAAGATACATTCTTTGCACCATGCAAGACCAGTGTTCTTCGCATGTGTAATGGTGAGTTATGAATCGGTATATTGTTCCTTTTGAAAACTGTGTTCATGAGATGCCTAGCATAGGGACCTTGGGTATCTCTCAATTGACTGCAATTGAAACATGGTTGTTCTGAGGAATTGCTGTAGTGGGTATACTAGGGATTTTATTTTTTTATTCATGCCACTTGTTTCTGTTTCTTCAGTGACATTTCAGGGTATACCCATCAAGTTTGAATAATTTGTATTGATAAATTACTCTGTCCAATTACAGTATTTTTAAGCATTGACGGTAATTTTTCGGGGCAGCACATCAGTAGCTTCCCTGAGCTTATTAATAAACTGGTTGTTGATGGTCAAACCAATGAATGGCAGGTATCTGTGAGCCCCTCTGCCTACTGGGGGCCATGTGCTCGAGCATCTCTTGCCTCTGCTGTGAGATGGAGAGCACATGGAGCTCAAACATCAAGCTGGTACTGAAGCAAAAAAGCCCAAAAGTAATGAATGGAGGCTACTAGACACTTCATACTCCCTCCTGAGAAATGCTTTGGGAAAATTATTAATATTTCATTAAGTTCAATAGAATTTCATTAATATGCATATTGGTGTTTTTTCAGATCTTTTGCGTCGACTTTCACGTTCGCAAAACACAGTGTTTTGTGGTCGAATTCTTCTCTTCTTGGCAAGATTCTTTCCATTCTCTGAGAGATCAGGACTAAATTTGGTATCAGAGTTTAACCTTGAGAATGTTACAACCTTTACCAATGTGGAGACTACGGACATGGAAGATGATGATGGTATGTCCTAACATATTGGTATTAGTGTATATATAATTTTCATGTAGCCTTAGCTATTCTTTGAAATGTGCTTAAATGACCTTATAAGGGTTTGTTTAAATTGTAGATAGTAAAGGACTAGATTCAGATGGGAAAGTATTCATTTTAGTGTTCTATACGAATTAAAAAATAATCCTCTAATTTTGGCCTTTAACACTTTACCCATTACAGTCCATCGACATTACTTACCCACACCTCATCCAACCCTGATTGGGGTACTGGACATTTATTGAAGTATTAGTAATATGTACTGTATACAATCTGTTATCCTACAAGTTGTATCTTGGGCTTATGAGATACCAGGGTGCGTATATGCATTACGGTTCTGGGCACTGTATTGTAGAATGGATGAAAATTCTCTGCCATGTATAAAGGGAAATTTGACTAAGTAAATTTCAGCAGTTGGGAAATGCTGTGACTACTCGATTTACAGTCTGGAAAGGTGTAGAGTAAAGGAGGACAACCAGAGTGTACAACTGAATATAAGTTGTACAAAGGTGGTATAAATAGTATGCTCAACATACAGTATTAACCCAAAGAGAATAAGGAATTTATGGAGTTAAGGTGGATAAGTTTAGATACAGAAAGAGGTAAAGACTGGTTTGGAATCTGTTGCTAATTGTGTGTCCATCCTAACACATTATATACCCATGCACCAACCCATATTCTCGCCCAGCCACCGCTGCTACTTGCCAATTATATGCCCACCCCACTTACTCAGACCCAACCACTAAACCAATACCAATCTATTCTTACCCTACCCACACATTTCATAATATTTGTATATTGTTTGTTATACTGTACCTGGCTTAAGAACTGGGGATACCTTCCTCTATTGGTTGTGAGGAAAACATATTTTGTTTATTTGTTATTTATTTTTATGAGTGCTATATTTTGTATGTATTGTATTTTGTGTTTTAGATGAAGAAAAAGGAGAAGAAACTCGGCTACGGCTAGACTACACATTATATACCAAATTCTGGTCACTTCAAGATTTCTTCAGAAACCCAGTTCAATGCTTTCAAAAGGCACCTTGGAAGATGTTTACTATGGTCAGTTGGTATTTGAAGTACAGTAAATATTTTACCGAATACATTATGCCTTATTGTTTTTGACTCGGAAAAGTTCACAAGTAATATGCATAATTTTCTTGAGTCAGACAACCAATAAGTTAGTGGTTAACTGGAACAGTATGTGAAAGAAAGGTTGAGAGGGAGGGTTAAGAGAGCTTAAAGGAATGAAAGGCTTGTGTGGTAACAGAACATCATGGAGGAACCTCTGCTGTGGCCACCCACTTATTGAGAACTTCTGAGAAGGGATAAGGTATAAGGCATCAGGATTATACATAGATCAAATTTGAAGATCAGCTAATTTATTTTCTAATGATTTTCCCAAGAACCATGCATAGAATCATAGAATAAATATAACCTTCAGTATTCTAACAGTTTCAAATTAGGTTCCTTGTGTGTTCTGATACATTACTGAAGTACGGTATATTTGAAGAGTTTCTGACATTTTTGTGGCTTCCTTATATGCACTTATGCCAACATCATTGTATTTTTTCATCTACAATTTTCTATGTTCACAACAACATTGCTATTAATCAAGCAATTTTTTTCAGTATTGTGGAGATGTTCTAGAAGCATTTAAAAGTTTCAAGTTGGATAATGTTCAGAGCAGTGGAAGTGGAGGAGCCCATCTGACCCGTACATTATCCGAGCCAACACATTCAGAAGATAGTTCCAGCTTGCAATTCCAAGTATGTGGTGTTTTAGTTTCCCAGATTTCATTATTATTGTTTTTTATCTATACTGGATTAGTACCACCACATGATAAATTCAAGCCTGTTTACAAAATTATACAGCAGTTCTATTGACAATGTTTTTGTGTGATGAATACTAGAATAAATAATTTTAATTATTTCAATTTTCTTTTTTATAGAGCAATAAAATAGATGGTTGTTCAGCAGAATAGGTCACTAGATACAGTTAAGTTTGTCCGTCCTATTACTCTGTTATATTTTACTGAAAAAGAGCTTTCTTCACCACAGGTGGACCAGTATTTTGCCAAGTACTTGACAAACCAGAAATTGCTTGATCTCCAGTTTTCTGATGCAAATTTCCGCCGTTATGTTCTACTGCAGATTCTAATTTTGGCTCAATACCTCACCTCCAATATCAAGTTTAAACAGTAAGACAGTTTAATCAATTTTACTTTGTTAGCCTTTAGCACTAGGTTGAATACCAAATAACATGACATTCAAAAACAATATGTATTGCTCGGAAAAGTTATTCTTGTATTTTGATTGTCTTCTAAATATTAAATAACATGAATTTTGGGTCCTAAGTTCAGAGTTCTTAGCGATCCACAGTGATCCACAGAGAGCCATAATATCATAAAAAAGAGGCTAGTAGAACATCCAAAGTTATGGCAATTTATAATCCAATACCACCATGGTTTCAGAAAGGGCAAATCCTGCTCACAAACTTGATTCATTTCAATGAATGGGCTACCGAGATCAGACAAAATGGAGAAGGGTAAGCAGACTGTATATTCTTGGACTGTCATAAAGCCTTCAACACTGTACCCCACAGAAAACTAGTGCACAAAATGGAAAAAGGAGCAGGAGTGACAGGGAAGGTACTCGGTGGATAAAGGAGTACTTCTGCAACAGAAGAGTCACAGTGAGAGGAGAGACCTCAAAGTGGTGGGATGTTACCAGTAACGTTCCACAAGGATCAGTTCTGGGGTCGATGGTATTCTTCACCTATGTGAATGATTCAACAGAGGGGGATAGAAGGAGGGAATTATCAGGGTAAAGCATCAAGCCATTATAACTATATAGCACCTGGAAGGGGTCAGGATAAGGCTTTGAGATGGGACAGGGGGAAGGAATGGTGCCCAACCAGTTGGACGGTTGGGGATTGAACGCCGACCTGCAAGAAGCAAGACTGTCGCTCTACCGTCCAGCCCAAGTGGTTAGGTTCAGAGGGGATAGTCCTTGTCAGTATTTGCTTATGAAGAGAATAAATATATTATGAAAGACTACATGAAACTACAAGAGGACGTAGGTAAATTGAAAATATGGTCCCTCAAATGGCTACTAGAGTTCATCTCTAGCCAGTGCTAAGTAACAAAGCTGGATACAGGGAACTGGAGACAGGACACAAGGAAAGGAAATCATATTAGAATTGGACGGAGAAAAAGACTTGGGAGTTGATATTACCCCCAACCTTTCACTAGAAGCCCACATCAATAGAACTTCATCAGCTGCTATGGAAGGTTGGTTAATATAAGAACTGACTTTATGAATCCGAACAAAGAGTCATTCAGAATCATTGTATATCATTTACCAATTCTGGAATATGTGGCAGCATAGAGTCGTTATCTCGTTAAACACAAAACAAAACTGGAGAATGTTCAGAGTTATACCATCAGACTGGTCCCAGAGCTGAGGTGTGAGCAATGAGGATAAATTATATATGTTGAGTATACCTAATATTACTGGAAAAAAAGAAAGTGTGGAGAGACAAGTACTATCACACAGAGAAAAACTAAGGGGAATAAATGGGCCAGACAAGGATAGACTAATTTAGCAAGGGACATAGATGGAAAGTAACCAGTTGAGCCACAGATTTCACAGTAATGAACAGCTGGAATTTACTATGAAGGAAAGTAGTGGAAGCAGACTGCACACACAGCTTGAAACCTAGATATGCCAGTCCAATAGGCTAATTGATTAATGGTTGAGAGGTGGGACCCAAGAGACGTGGCTCGTCCCTCAAATACAACTAATTGAGTACTCGTCAACCCCCATACCAACAGATATACAAATTATCACTGGAGTAATAGTTTAAGTTTTTAAAAGGGAACCTGACAAGATTGTCTGCTTTGTCCTGGCTATGTGGAGTTGTAGAGAGATGCATCATCACTGATCAGGCAGTCACTTGGGAAATCTGACGATCATTTGCAAACATTGTCATATGTGATCCTAACTGCTCTGTGAGATCATTTACATAATTAGCAGTATAGGTCCAAGTACTGAACCCTGTATGAGTGTGTTTCTTATTTCCCGGCCTGCTTGTTCCTTAACAGTTCTATGTGGAGCCATTTTAATAATGTTTCAACTTTTTCTCTTAGTATGAATTCTGCATCTTCCAGGGAGACATTAACAGAAGATCAGTTAGCATGGGTAAAAAAGACAGAGGAACTTGTGTACACACTCCTCGAAGAGACCCCTCCTGATGGTCCTGTGTTTGTGAACACTGTCAAGCACATACTGAAGGTATGCATGTGCATTTATTGATGCACTTTCAGTAAGTATTTTAGTCTGGACATTGACTTTAGTGTGTACTTATGTGGCTAAGATAGAACATCTTCTCGTTATAATGTACTGTACTAAGAAATTTAATAAAAAAATATCCCAGGCTCTTGACATCTTTATTTTCATGCCAATTATGCAGGTTAATTACACTACGTGCTTCAGACAGGTGCTTACTCTAATTTACTGAAACACTTCTCTGATGTAAACTATGCCCATTCAGTTACTGATATTTATAATTTTTTCAATTAAATGAAGGTTTTATTATTCATATTATTCTTGGATTTTTATTTATAGATTCAAATAAGATATTATTTTAACTAAATGTATAAATACATTTGTAATTACTCTACCTTAATTTTCTTTTCCAGAGAGAAGTAGTATGGAGTGAGTGGAAAAATGAAGGCTGCCCAGAATTCAAGAAACCAGAGGGTTATGAAAAATTAAAGGCAAAACTAAATGGCAAAGGAGAGGAGGTAAGGTCTATGAATATGATGTCTTCTTCTGCAGCCTGAGTGAGAGCTAATTTTAAAAAACACACAGCATAACCTGACAGGCACCTGCTTCCAAATATTCCTAAGCATATGTCCACCCTGGAAAGAGTAAATGACATTTGTGGGAACCATATTGGATCCCATGTATGTATTTGTATACTGTGTTCTCTAGCCACTTTTATTGTGTATTTTATTGGTTGCTTCATTGTACAGAATATATTCTTTGCATAAAGGGGAAATTTATTTGTTATTTTTAAAGTTGTGGATTTCTTTGATATCCCAGGATACAGTGGGCATTTTTCTTTGGGATTCTCACAAGGAGTTGCTGGAAAAAGAAGTTAGGAAGAGTCTCTTATTGTTTTGATGAGCCTAGAACTCAAATCCCTGAGGAAGCTCCTGCTGATTTTTCTGTGGGTGGTGGTGGTACATGGTTGACAAGTAGTGAGGTTAATGTAGATGTTGGTCAGGGCTCCATGCTAATTTCCTGCTATTCCTCTAGACACAGTGTAATCCCATTTGGGTGACCACGATGATGAGAGACCTCTAGGGGATATTATGTAAAGATAGATTATATGCTCACTATATTCAATTAATGGAAATAGATTAGGACAGCCTATTCCATTTTAGAGAAAATAGGACAAGGACATGGGTGGAAAATGCAAACATGTCACTGAAACAAGGAAAATTAAATGTTTGTTATACTGGTTGTTAACGAGTGAAGTGCAAGCTCACTTTTATTTACAGTTCCAAGATCAAATACAACAGAACTCAAATGTCAAGAGATTAAAATGCACCAGGGACAAATAACTAGGAGGCAGGGCCCTTAGTGCTAGATATCACTTCCATAAACATTGTTAGGTTGACATTGATAAGTAAACATCACCAATATAATTTTTATATATTGTAAGATTTGCTGGCTTAGGGATGCCTTTCACAATCATTCTTTTGTGACCAAATCATCTAATTTGTTTTGCTTCGTATTTTTAGCTACCCAAATTCAGTATGTCAGTAGCAGTGTAGATATTTTCTCACAATTTTAACAGGAAAAAGAGGATGAAGATTCTAGGTCAACCAAGAAATTGCGTCAGAAACGAAAAGTAGGAGACATGATCCGAGATGCTGATTCAAAAAATAAATTCTCTATGGGCAAGTAAGTGAACTGTATACAGTTATGTGGTTGAGAGTGAGTGGATTCATGTGTGTGCAATTACCTACGTGTAGTTGGTGTCTTGTCTTCCCTATATACTTTACCATATAAAGCTTTGAAGCTTTTAATGGTTTGGGATACACTACCCTTGTATTTAGTCCATTCTATCCAACTACCAAGCTGTTTGCTAAAGAGAATTTATATAAATTCTTTCAGTACTTTTGTTCTCTTAGCCTGAATCTGTGGCCGATTGTTCTTGATGTTGGAGGTTTAAAAAATGACTTGTAATAAAATTGTGATGATAATTGGTAAAACTGGTATGTTGTGATCATATTACAATTATTTCTTTATACTGCTTATACTAGTTGTGGCATATTTAACCTCGTGTTAGTATCTTTGGGTGTCCAAACTTTGTTTTATGTAATTGAACAAACTATATTTTCATAATGTGTGAATTCAGATTAAATCTTTAAGATAAAGCAAACTTTAGTATGTCCCATAATGCCAGTTTGATGTGACTGTTCTGTTGTCATCACGAAGTTTAAGCTCCATACTTTTACCTAAAAATAAAAAAGTTAAATATACCGGGTAATTTCTTAAATTTTGACAATAAAAAATAGATTTTTATAATTATAAATTGTAATATTAATCCCAACAGGCTTACATCTGATACCCTTCATGTTTCAGTGTTTCTGCAGTATAGTATATTTGATGAGTTCCTGCCATTTTTGTTGTTTCACTTGATGCACTGATACAGGTGCTGTACTGTAGGGTTTTTCTCTACTGCAGACTGACATATTTGAAGAGTAACAAATATTTTTATATTTTTTCATTACATTGTATACTTTTCTACTTTCATGTGGTATTTAGTGTTGAAATGTCTCGGCTGTGGAACCTGAACCCAAATAACCTTGCGGCATGTAAGATGCTCGAACGAGATTTTGTGCCTGCGCTGGAGACGTACTTTACTCCTGCCATTGAACAACTTAGTCCAAAGTCAGAATTGAAAGAAAAGGATAGGTAAGTAATATCAAATACTTTATATCTTGCACACAATTACTGGTTGGAAACACTACCTTGTAGTGTTTATCACTATTATACAACACTAGATACCCCCATAGTGAATAGTATTTCACAAATATACTGGATAGTACTCTACTTGTGATAATTATCACTACCCTATTTCCCACTTTCATTGGGGGTGGGAAGACACACGTGCTGGATATTATTCAACATACAGGTTATACAGTACTGGATGTTTTAATTTGTTTTCTCATTTGTCTCTGAAAAAATGTTTAATGAAAAATATTTGCAGACTTGTCAATGACAGTAACTTTGGATGGCGAGGTTTGCGACTCTTGGCCTGCCGCTCACCCCACTTCTTCACTCACTCAGCTAGTCCTATTGCCACATTACCTGAATATCTTACCACCATGATCAAGAAACTAGCAAAGGAGCTACCTGTAAGTATGCTACTTAGATCAAGTAAGCAACAAATTATCTTTTTTTGTTTTTAGGAAATGGACAAAAATAGGAATAGATGCAGGGAGGCAAGGTATATTAAAATGCTAAAACTATGTACACTTATAAATAGAGGTGTTATGCTACTTCAGTTTAACACTTAAGGTGTGTAATTCTGAAAATATTTTAACCTGCGTTGCAAAATACTTGTCGTTTTAAGTGTACCAGGTCCTTACGAAGAACTGTGTTTCATACGATTGGGGGGTGTAAAGTGTATAAGTAATTAATAAACACTGGACTTGGTTTTGTTGTTGGAACTGATTATTGAGGAAGGCTGTAATTAGTGGAGGAGGAGTTAGGTGATTTTTGAAGATGCTACATTGATTGCCACCCCTGCAAAGCCATCTGTTGTAAGTAGCCTTGTTAAATGGAATTCCAGTGATGGTGTTAATTTATATTGTATACAGTACAGTACTCTGTAATTTAGGAGCCTTCTACACCTGGTATTATTAACAGGTGGGGTGCCATTGTGGATATGTGCTGGTGTTTATCTACGATACTGAGAAATGCTATTTTCTAACAACCATCTTTCACTATAATGTACCATATTTTTCTCCAAGCTGATGCCTCCTCCTCCCTCATGAAATAGAAAACAGTAATGATATTGTATATATGCTGCTTTAACTTGTATTAAATAATTTCAGTCGCAGCTTACAGCAGATATTAAAGTCGAAGATGATGATGACAAAGAAGAGGAAAAAGTTATCCCTGTGTTGGAGCAAAATGATGGAGTGAAGGAGGATGAGGAAGATATGGAGGAGGATGGTGAGGAGGAGCGACCTGAGGTCAAGGCCATCACTGAGGAAGAGCAGAAAGCACTTGCCAAGAACTTGGACAAACTAGGGCAAGATAAGTGGAAGCTCCTGGCCAAAAAACTAGGTTTTGTAGATGATGAGGCAAGTTTACTTAATACACATGTAATATTCTTAAAATATCAGGTCTGCAATAGATACTTTAATGAGTTTTGTCATGTTTATTTTTTCTTTCCTTCAATTGCAATTATTTCAATATCTTAAATTTCAAATTGACTTGACGAGACATTCAAATACAGTACAATATTTTGAGTATCTAGTTAATAACAATGAGGCTCACTTAGATTATTGCAAAGGGAAAAAAAATGCTTGCTGTGGAGCTACAGTGCTTTATTTAAAGTACAGCCATACATGTTCAATACAACACTTGTGGCTGCAATTTAAATAATACAATGTACCCCTGTTGCAACTTCTTTTTTTTTTCCCCAGTCTGCAATACCTTAACTTGAAACTGGCCGAGATACCTCACTGTATCGCAGTATATTGAGTTGGCACAAGTAATATGGTAATTATCTCGGTATGAAGAAAACGGTACCAAATACATAATTAGGAATAACTTCTTAGCATAATTGAAGCCATATTACAAGGTAGCAATCAACAGTAAAAAAGTTTTTGCATTTAATACCTCGGTAAGTCTTTTTAACACTTTTGCATGTGGCGCGTGTGTACTGCAGACTGATGTCATGCTCCCGGCGAGCGTGCGGCGACACCGAAATGTGTATACTCGTTTCAGTTTTCTCACCTTAATTCTCGTGCTACGTCGTTTGTGTTGGTATCATTGTATGCACAATAGAATTCTCTACAGGGATATATGCACATAAGGTCCAAAAGCTGGCGTGACTTCCCGCAGAAGCCTAAAGTCGGCCAATTGTTACCCGTGAACGAGCGCCAATTGGCACACCCGCAACAAAATGTGTATACTCGTTCGGTTTGATAACATCAATTTGTGTTACGTCTTTCATTTTGGTAACAAATTGTTCGCAATCTAAAGAAGCACATTTTAAAATTAATCCCATAATAATAGCACAATAAATGGAATTTTAAGAAGTATTTTAAAATTTGGACCACAAAAGTATTTATAATCTTTCAAGTGTTCTGACCTCAATTGTCAAGCTACATCGTCATTATTGTATCAAATTGTGCACAATCTAAAGGCGGTCATTTTAAAACCACTCCCAGATAGCATAAAATTTAAATTTTTAACAAATATTTGAAAATGAGTAACACAAGATCAAGTTAACCGAGAAAAATTGACGAATCCTGGGCGAGGCAACTGAGAGCGATTGTGTTAAAGGTGTATCATTTTTTGTACACTTCAGAGGAAAGTAATTTTCAAAAGGCACAAAGCCTGGATGGCTATGTACACCTTACAGATTGTTTCTCTTTAGAAGCTGTGAAGAGTGTGTGTAATGCCCTGATAGTTCTGAAAGTAGTCTTTTGCTTACTGAGCAGACATAAGTTATGCGAGGTTTTACATATTAGGAAGACATTGCAGTATATTATGTTATCCTTCTACACTGCAGACTTTTTATAATGCGTAACTGTAGTGTAAGTACACCAAGGATGATATTGTAACCATGGTTGTTTGTCATCAAAGATTGGCAGGTTATGAATAGCATGAAGCAGTTGCATAGTACCTGTACATGATAAAATTAAATATTGCAGAAGTATACCATAGCCTCCATTCTTACTTTTTGCCAACCTTCAGTACATGACCCCCTTGTTTTTTCTAGATTGAATTCATCGAGAAGGATAAAGCAGCCAAGGCGGGCAGTGTGGAGAGCCAGGCAGCATTTATGCTGAAATTGTGGGTGGAAAATGAAGGTGATGAAGCCAACAAGGACAGTCTTCTGTATACCCTTGGTGGCATGAAGCTGACAGCTATTGCTGATGATGTATTCACTTGATACTTTCAGTTTAAAGAGAAGACAATTCTTCAAATGAATAATTGTAATTACAAGCGTATGTTGTCAAATGTGTCTGCCACAATATTCAAGTTTCTTTTACATTACCAATAAACTGTTTGTACAAAGAATATTTTTTTGAATTCGTGCATTTTTTTTACGGCTATCGTAATATCTCCAAATATTTATATTTTAACTTTAAATAAAATTATGCAAGTTATATAAACTATCTCCTACCTCTGGATGAAGTTTCTTATTTCAGTACCTGTACTGTAATGTGGGAGTAATTATAGAAACGTTGCCGAGCCAGGATGGCAAGGTAAGGTAATCTGGTATTTGAATATCTAAAAACTCATTCCACAAGAAGAGAAGTGACGAATGAGGCAGGTTCACCAATAATTTTTGTAGAGGGGCAAGTAACTTAACAGTGGGAAAGCAAAAATTTCATATCCTAATACTCGGCACATTTTGTGGCAAGCTGCCGCTAGTGAAAATGCAGGTCTATTGCATTAACTCTTGAGCAGTAATCTTTTGTGGTTAATACATACTGTAACAGAAGTTTCCCATTTCTTGTGTTGGTAGCAGGAAACATTTAATAGTACAGTATGTAATTTGTTCATAATTCAGATTTTGCATGCTTTCATAAGCACTCATTTTGCCAGTGAGAAATGCTTTCATAAGCATGTAGAATTTAGCCTATTATGAGATGCTTACAATCCTAGGACAAACTGAATCAAGGTTAATGATAAATACTTACTAGAACTGATGCTTCAGCGACACAATCTGAACAATCTAAGAGAAAGAGCTTTGGTCTTGTACCCAATCACAAGTCGCCCCTCCTACACACACAGCCACTTAGATATAACCATTGTTATAAGTTGTTGGGCACTGTAAGCACTGACCCAAAAGCTGGAGTTATTGTCTTTATTATGATACATTTGAAAATATTAGTGGAAACTAAAAGTGAAACTTTGTGTAATTCATGTTTTAACATACTGGAAAATTACAATGTACATATTACAAGCATGTTCGTCAATGTGACTTCTATGTCGTATGCCTAACAACATCATATTCAACACACTAGCAATATAAAAGGTTTTAAGATACTGTACTTGACTTGGGTACAATAACTTTCATTTTATATAAGGTTTGGTGTACTTTTTCATCTTGTATACAGCAATAAGTAAAAGGAATGTTGATAAATAACCAGTGTGTTGACTTACATTCTTTTCATTATCATTTGCCCACATAAAGGATATTCTATACACATTTTTATACAACAACTTTCAAGAAGCCACAAATTTTGTTTTACAAAGCCTACACAGGAAATTTTACCTTATAGCAATTCAACCAAGCAGCAAATCCTTTATTATACATGATGAATTAGTCTTGAAAAACTATTTTGTAGACATCTTCGTAATGATCTGCAAAATGAACTTCAAGTCCTTCATATATAAAACTAGGAAGATCACTGAAGTCCTTCCGGTTCTCTGCAGGTATTATAATGCAGGATACTCCCACACGTTTTGCCTGAAAAAAGTAAAAAGTATTAATACACTGTGCACTTCATAGGATCACTTCATAGGATCATACTTCATAGGATCAATTCTATAGTATGACTGCCGAGTTCCTTGTCCGAAACTCGGGAAGGAATCACACTGCAAACATTTCACATTTATTCTTTGATTACTTGGCATCTCGTATTTTGCAAATAATTCTTATTCATATAAATCTGCATTTTATATTACTATAATACTTATTCATGGTATATGCTGTACAGTCCCTCCTCTAATGGATTATTTGGGTCCAGATATAATCAGTTATACAGAGGAATTTAAAGTTTTCTGCCACTTGTGTGGTGAAAAAATGCCAGTCCTCTGTCGATAACCTTTCACCCAGTTGTGTACTGTATTTTAATAGAATTACCTCTTACTTTGATATTCTAGAGAATGTAAAGAGAAAACTTTTCTAATCTTTCTTCAAAAGATCTTTAATACCTGGGATCAAGATAAGGCAAGGCATGATTACCTTTGTCATTCTTTTATGTACACATTCAAGTGAATGTTATAGTACAATGCCCCAAAATTCAAGTACATAAAATATTTTGGGTTTGATCCTGGCTCCCATCACAATATAATGCTTGATGACTATAAAAAGAAATATTATTTATCTACCTTTTTTTGAGCTTGGACAGTAACTTATTTTGAATTTTATATGCTCTTGAATACAGATCTAGTTTTTTTGTGCATAGGCAAGGTTGCCGTTTTTATGATAGATGAACTCCTATTAACCTTCAAAGTGTGGCTGTGTAATAACTGCAAGCACTTGTTTAGAAGTAAAGGCAAATTGTTCCTGCATAGAAAATTATTTTAAATTCAGCAAAAAATACATACGCAATGGTGTATCAAGTAAGCAGATATTATTCCAAAATTCCACTTAGGAGACAAGGTAGATTCACTATCTAAACCAGCATTCTTAAGAGTATTTACAATACAAGGTGAGGTAGTTTATTTATCACAGTAAAATATCAGTACCTGGTTGCTTAAACCTTCCCTCTCCACTTTGTGTGAGATAATATGATGGTCATTTTGTAGTAAAAATGGGAAAAGGAAAGACAGAAATTGTAGTAATACTTACTGCAATAGTTTTCTCTTTGATTCCTCCTACAGGAAGTACTTTGCCAGTGAGAGACAATTCCCCCGTCATGGCTATGTTTTGTCGAGCTGGTTTACCTGCAGCTAGTGACACCAAGGCTGTCACAATAGTTACCCCTGCACTTGGTCCATCTTTTGGCGTTGCTCCCTTAAAAGTTAAATTAAAAAAAATTAACCTGACAAATCTTTACAGTACTTTATAGAACCAAATGCAAATAAGATGTCTGATTTTTTACCAATGTTAGTTAACATGTGAAATTAACCCTCGTTATTAAAGTACACCTGTATACATTTTTAACATCCAAGTAGAAGGAACAAATATTTTTGTATTATCCTTATCCTAAAATAAAGCACTAAGCTGGAATGATTTTTCCAAACTCGCTCCAAATAATTTACTTGAAACCTATTAGCTCGTAAATCTTTAACGCAGCATCTAGTAACTTTTTCAGAATATTGATCTAGTTTCTTTTAAACTTGCAATTATTCCATCTAGTAGGAAACTATTCTTACTCAGAAAAATTGCAATTCTAACACAATAGTTGCATTTTTATCTTAATATGTATGTTCTAGCATTCAGCTGGTGATTGCGTATAGAAATTAGGTAAGCTGAATATACCAAATATGTCATGTTTTCAGCAAATTTTATTTAACCATAGAAGAAAAACAATAGTTTTTATCTTATTTAAACACATAGCTGAAAAGACTAAAGCATTTTCAACAGAATGAAGGAAAAATAAATTTTACTTATCAAGAGGTGAGACAGATGACTGCACCAAGAGGTTTGTGGCTGCCTCTCAAATTAATTTTTTAATTTATAAAATCACAAAAAATACATTATGCATTTTTGCTCCTAACACACATGTTAAAGTAATTATTTGGTTGCATTTTGATGCCAAAATTATAAATATATACCAACGTGGTTCCTCACTACCAGATGCTCAGTGACCCCTCCCACACCACAGCCTTTTCTTCCAGCCAGCACCTTCACCCACTGCCACTTCCTCCGCCCTATGGCCCCGATAACTTTTATGGGGTGCAGCTTGAAACAGCAAATGAATAAACACAGGTCTAGACGATACACTAAGCCTTTGCGGATAATAAAGGGTTTGTGTTGGTGATGGTAAACACTTCCCTCCATTATCAGGTCAGAGGTGCACCCATTTTAGCTGGTTGTACACAAAATCTGCTGTAATGACAATCAGATAAATAACGCACTTCTGTATTTAACTTTTTTTTTTAATACTGCATCATAAAACACACTTACCTCTGGCACATGAAGATGAATATTGGACTTCTCAAGCAGTTTATTGGTAGGATATTTTTCAGCTACAAAATGCTTGGCAAAAGTATAAGCAATACGTGTCGACTCTTTCATTACATCACCAAGGTGACCAGTCGTTTCTAGACGTCCCTCTTTATTCCCCTCAACAGAGCGTGCCATTGTCTCAATATACAAAGTTGATCCACCTATAAAGCCAAAGGAATAACGTCATTCAATATTTTGGTCAATATTTATATGGCAATTGTCACATTTAAACAACTGTAGCTTTCCCACATTATGGCTACTTTATGCCGACGTACAATACTCCCACTCTTCCAAGGATGTATCACCTGTCATACAATACTCTTCCATGGATGTATTATCCATCATACAATACTCTTCCATGGATGTATCACCTGTCATACAATACTGCACTCTTCTGTCACTCCCAAATGTAATCATCAGCACCACTTTCACTCATTACATTTAAAGTATTTTCTCCACCATTTAACATTCTCCCATGTGTATTTAGCACACTTATTTACCTATCTACCAGTCTCCCTGCTACACTGCCTTACTTCATTTCTAGAGAGCTTCCTGTTTTTCTTAATAATGTTTTTTAATTTGTTGTCTCCTTATTTGGTGATTGTTTTAATATGTCAACAACACATCTGCCCTGTACCATTCTTTTTTTCATTAACAAATGCACTCCTTGTATTTTCTTTACTGTTCTTTTAACACTCCATCCCACTCCCCAATATTATTTTCTTTTAACCATCTCAATTCTAGCACATCCTACTTTCCTTTAGAAACATTTATCACTAACTACTTATTTCTTACCAAATTTTTCCTCTGATATTTCCCAGTCATACAAACCTGCCTCTGCTTTCTGTTGCCTAGGCAGGTGCAGGCCCCATTAGATCAAAGGTTATTTTGACAATTATACCATTTAATATTTAGTACAAAACAAATACTAATAGTTGAAAACTAACCCATAGCAGTCCATGCAAGACCCATGACCACACCAGGAGGAGTTTCATTGTACAAGCGATCATGGCTGAACTTGGGTTTACCAACAAAACTCTCTAGATTATCAGCTGTCACATCAACCTTTTCAGCTTCACCACTGGCAATGTTATATGCTGCTCTTCGCATTATTCTCTCAATGTGCTTCTGAAGATTCCTGACACCTGATTCTCGGCAATAATGACGTATTAACTTATCCACAGCAGAATCATTTAACGTTAACTGTAAACAAAACACCAACATTAATATACAAGATGTAGCTCATTGTGGCTCATTGAGCCACAGCAACGCGTGGCCGGTTACATCTAGTTCTTAAATATAAATCAAATATAAAATTGCAATTGAATCTTGGTTAAAAATTATAAGAACAACCAAAATCTATAATAAAATGAAAATGGCTATAGCTCAGTAATTGGCAAAATCTCAATGTGTAAGATTTCTGTACAGCGACGTTACATTATACAGTGGTATAAAATGTTTAGCTGATCATTAATTTAATAAATTATGGTACACTTTAAAAGTTGTCAAAGAAATAAATGGGAGAAAGCATGTCATTGTGTACAATCAGTGTTCAAGAGGTGCGTGCAAGTACTGTAGTCTGATACCTCAACCCTGGAGCTGCCCACCAAACTCAATTATAAAATCAAAAGTAAATATAAATATGAAAGAATTATTGCAACTACATCAAATATAGTAGTACTGTACTGTAATTTTTAATAATTAATAGCATTTGTAAAGTATTTCCTATAAACTGCACATACCAATTTCTGAACAGAACATAAACTTAATTATAATAGGTTGAACATAGTAAGGATGCACATCTTTACTAGCTAAAACTCTTCAAACGCTGGTACTGTAGTCAAGCTAACCTTGGTCAAGTCAAGGCCACAAAGTTTTTGTGCAACGGGAACAAGGTAAGTGTTCGCAATAGCCATCTTCTCCTCGGCAACATATCCAGACACGTCAATCATTTCCATCCTATCACGCAGTGGTTCTGGGATTGTATCCAAGATATTTGCTGTACAGATGAACAGCACCTGCAGTAACAAAGAATATATATCAGTGCAATGCAGAATCAGAGATTAAGACATTTGGAACAGTTGACTTCAATATATGCATCTTGAAAACAGCTAAAACTTTTATTTTTTTAAATATAAATAAGATGTTTAATTCAAGATTTTTCTTCATTATATATGTGCTTCCTTTTACCATGTGTACACCTGTATATACCAGAATGATACGCCATTTAGCTTCTCTTCCCAGAGTGGCCATTGTCCCTTCAGAAAAATTGTCAATTGTTGCCATTAATGAGGTTTTAACTTGTAAATTCTTGTTAAATTTGTTTATTCACAGATTGCATAAGAGCTAACAAGAATGGTATCCCAAGCCCCTACAAAATAATATTCCCATGATCAAGAACTTTCTGTATTTATTCCATGAAAATGTAACAAATCGATTGTAAACACTGCCACCTGGAAGCTACAAGGTCCACCTTCAGTAAACTATAATTTAGGGTTCCACTCTGAATGTGCAGTCTTAATCCCAAGAATTTAGGACCACTCAGGAAGCTACTGACACCACCTCAACAATGATTAATAAAATATATTTATAACAAGCCCACAAACACTTTAGTCTAATTTCATAACTTTCCCATTTTAAATTCCAATATTTTTTCTGTTATTTAACTAAATTTTGTCCAACAATGGTAATCCAATACATTATCCATGCAAAGCATTGCACAAAATCTCTTAGTTCTTCACACATTTTACACTGAGTAGAAGTGCTTGATATACGAGTTAACCAAGACTTATGCCAAGGATTTATCATCCATGTTTCTACTTTCAAGGTATGGTAGCACCCCATTATGTTGCAAATTAGAATAAATGAACACGATTTATTTCATCTCAGTAAATCGCCAATACATCACTGACTGCTCTCTTCGAACAGAGCATACACCACCAGAAAAATGCTGCACCAGACTAAAAAGCTAAACAAACGGTGAGCAAAATCATCCCGAAGTAACCATAAATGCCAAAATAAGGAGAAATTCAGGACTGGTAACTCGTCAAACATAAGAGGGTGCAAATCTCACATGAACGTGTAATATATTTTATTGAGTAGAGAAAATTATAGCCATAATTTTTTTAAAAAGAGGTCACAACTTAGAACTTGGTAAGTAATATTACAGAAAAGACAATAGGAAGTACTACTTCTTCCCGAGAGTAAAATTAATCTGTGCAACAGTCTGCTTGCTGATGCCACTGGGGCCAGAACAGTATTCACCGTTAGCATGCAACTTTAAAAACACTGAAATTTTGGAAGGAAACTTCATAGCTCATAGGTTCCTATCAGCTTTATCCATTTATTTCTTCTAGTATAGGTTCATCTTCTATAACTTCATGAGCTATCCAAAATACACACTAAATACAGTATTTTTTAATTAAATGAATGAATAGTTAGTAGGTATGATATAATTTTGCTTACAAGGACTTATACATACATCTTTTAACACTGCATAAATGAGGGGAGGGGGGGATAAAATTTGATTTTAAATAGGCTCAGTGACTTTCCCATATCCCAACTATTTCTTATGTTGCCTCTGTTGATGAACTTGGTTCCAACATCCTAAGCAAATCCACACATTCCCTGCTTCAGTGAACTCTTCTTTGTCGAATTGAGTGTGTAAATCTGGCATGGAAAGTACACATTCCAACCAGAGATTCCCTGAATTTAGGTTTGTTGAATCAAGATTCCACTGTATTACAGAGCTATGAAATCATACTAGACAATATTAAAGTGTGAACTATACCTTAGAGAGGTCAACATTCACATCAAGGTAATGGTCTAAGAAGTTGGCATTTTGTTCTGGATCGAGAAGCTCAAGCAGAGCAGCAGATGGGTCACCCTGGTATCCTCGGCCAATCTTATCCACCTCATCAATAAGAACTACTGGATTCTCTGTCTTCGTCTTCTTCAGGCACTGTCAATGAAAAACATTCTTATATTAAAGAAATAAAATAAATCTTTTAACAAAAAATAAATGTTAAGCATAATCTATATAGGTTCTCTTTAATCTATATAAACTATCTTATAGTTACATAAGCCAGCCTTAATATATAGGTTATTAAAGCTGTCTTTAATCCTAACTTTCAAATTTATAAATACAGTACAATCATAATTTACACAAAGTACATCTTAGACCTTGTTCGAAATTTGCATTACTCATTACAGTACATTTTAATTTGTACTTAAATCACTTTATAAAAATTAGTACAACACAGAAATATTCCAAGTGACATTTTTATTACTTAGCGATTCTATAACATAATAAAATCCAGAACTTCAACTTACCTGGATGAGCTTGCCTGGCATAGCACCTACGTATGTCCGCCTGTGACCCTTGATTTCTGCAACATCTGTCATACCACCTACACTGAACCTGAAATACTGCAAAAATAAAGAAAACCCATTAAAAATTGAGAAGTTAACCAGACTATGAAAACCAAAAAATTATCAAAAGCACAGTAAAACATCTTAACCCCCGCATTACTTGGGATTCGTGATCGCTGATCGTAGTCACCAATCAATGGGAGGTTATTAGGTTAAAGTGCCCATTTTGTTAGAGACAATGATTATTCTTAAATCTAAGGAAGAAACAAAGGAAGAGTAAGCCTATATGTATCTACCAAACTGTAATAGACAGTAAGGTGTGTGGGTGAATGTCAGGTACAAAATCTGGATTGTCAGAGGATGTGGGAATCATGGACATTAGGTTTATGGCAGATCAACTTCTGGAGATAAAGGTCAAGACACTAACTTATTGAGTAAAGGGGAAAAAAATTCTCCAACCCACCCACCCCCAGAAGGAAATACCATCTTGCCTGAAAATCAATGGGAACCAAACAAAATCCTCTAACAATCCCTCATCACTCGGGAAAGAGGACCAAGCCAACAACCCCTTCCAGTGTAAACATTTACAAGCATCTCCCTGGTGCATTTTAATTTAACACATTCAGACCCCCCCAGCCCCAACCAGGGTAACTAGGAATCGAAAACCCAGCCTTCACATCCCTTCTACTTGCACCTATAAGGACTATAACCACTTAGTAGTCACAGCAATCAGAGGGGGTTTGGAGGACATGCACTCTTACCAAAGCATCACTAATCCTGAGATCAGACCTCGATTCAGAACTTGTTTGAATCAGGACTAAATCTAATAAAACTAATACACAAGATTAGGAGGATATTTAAGCCCAAAGTTTGGTAAGCTGAGCATAAGTAACATGATGAGGCAACGATAAATACATGGCCGAAGCCCCCACACGGCACACTGAACACTTCTGGACATTGAACTGGCTCTGAATACAACAGGACAAGTTTGTTGGAGGTAACAAAATATGGCAACTGTGGCAAAATAATTCAAATAGCAACCAACCTAGCTGCACCAAGCAGTGGTTTGCCCATCCCTGAACTGATGTGCCATGGCAAACAGCACTGGATCATAAATGAATACAGTAGTCAATATCAGTAAAATGTCACCAGACACTCAGCCCAGCCACAACAGAAGAGGAAAGGCCTAACCAAACCCTACCTAATCCAAAGACAAAAGAGGGAGAGGCTAACCCATGACCAAACCTAAAAGCCAGCACAAATACGGATGTGAAAGACTCAGCCAAGGCCAGACTTGAAGGGAAATAAACAGCTTTCCCGCACATGGAGCCGGATACAATATATACAATACCTTGGTGAGTACGGTATGCTTATTTGATATATTTATGATGATTGTCAATGCACTGGGAACATTTACTGCCTTGTATCAATTTACCAGTACTGTAAAACATGAATTAACAAGAAAGTAACATCAACATTTTATAAAACTGGTACTGATACTCATTCTACATCCACAAGCTTAATATTTCATGAAATTAAATTTCATTATAACTCACCTCTCTGTTGAGAGCTCGTGCAATGGAGCGAGCAATGCTGGTCTTGCCTACACCAGGAGGACCATAGAAACAAAGAATTTTTCCTTGGGTTGTACCTCGTAGTTGTGCCACTGCTATGAACTCTGCAATTACAGGTCAAATAGGAAATAATGGATCAGCATATTTTGTTTACGTGTCACAGATGCTGGTAAAGGTAGTCACTGAGGAAGGCATCCCTGTCTCTTACCAAGGAGCATCTTTAAACATTTGCATGAGAAGATTATAAATCACTAACGCTTGCATCAATAAAAAATGTAACGAGAGTTACAGAGCCCAGGAATAAGACAGCAGTCATTTGTATCAAATATAAAGCATTTGACACCAACTAATGACCATATTATGCTCCCCACTGGTGGTGGTGAATGATAGTGGAGAGTATGGTAATATCAACTATGATACATAAAAAACTGATGTCTTTCATATTACATTAAGCCCAGTGACACCTTACAAAGTAACCCTTATGGAAGTTCTGATCTCCAATACCAAAAAATGTAAATGACAATCTCATTCAAATCTTTCTCACTTGGTGGTCGTCTATGAAGCCCGACACTGGATAAAATACTCTACTTAAAATTATATATTAATTATATTCTACAATTATAATAATGAAAGCAACCTTAGTTTCATTAGACGCTCAAATTACTTTATTTTAGATTTCACGTTAATATGATGAGATGGTCGTTACATTGAATGGAAATGCATCAGGAGGAAATTTTATTTAAACATATAACCATTAAGTGTCCACATCAGCAATACCTACCAGGTAATTAATACCTGTATAAACAAAATCAGGTGGCTTCATTATTGAGTTAAATATACTATAACTTTCCAATTTTATAAGACATCTTCTGGAATTGTCAAAGTAAGCTTTCTGCCTCTACATGAATCTTATATTTATATAATGTTTCCTCTTCAACCTATTAAAATATATATTTTACCTAAAATTCTCTTCTTGACATCTTCCATCCCATAATGGTCCTCATCCAAGATCTGACGAGCTTGTTTCAAGTCAAGATTCTCTTTTGAAGTTATACCCCAAGGTAACATCGTTAACCAGTCCAGGTAATTTCTCGTTACATTAAACTCCGAGGAATGGTTATCAAGAAATCCTAATTTATTAAGTTCTTCATCGATCACATCTTGAACAGCTGTTGGGACTTCTTTATCCTGCAAGGAAAAGCAAAAACTAAAACACTCATTATATACGTATCTATGAATACAGCATTGCAGAGCAATCAAAACAGCATCCATATATTTCTGAAAATAATATAAAGTAGTATACAGTTTATTAATGAACTTATGAAATGCTACTTGCCTTCAGTCTTGCACGGAACTTCTCTTCAATAGCATCCTTATCTTCCTTTTCTATGCCTAGCTCTTTCTTTATTACCTTAAGCTGCTCTTGTAACATGTACTTTCTATGCTGTGACCGAACTTTTTCTTCTACCTCCTGAAATTCACAAATTTTATTAATTACTAAAGAATTTATAAAAAAAACCAGCGTTGAATGTAATGAAACGCCATTTTCTGGGTGAGTCCCGGAGGCTCCCCGGAGCTATCCCAGGCTGATATGCTAATGTCAGACTTTGGCATCAGTCATGTGTATGGAGTTCTTAGGCCTACCGGGGACCACGGCCAGAACCGGGCCCCCTCAGAGAGGCAAGGGGAGCAATGGCCTATAGAAGCCCCCGTGTAGTTGGAAGCATTCTATGTCTGCCATCGACCGGAACAGGCACCCAGAAAGGTAAGCGCCCCAAAACAAACCCCTATTCTGGTTAAAATTGCTACCTAATACCGAACTAGTGGATAGAACTCCCCAACCGAAAACAAGCAAATTAGTGTGACGTCACACACTGCCGCGCCGCTGTCTGCGCAGCTCCCCCCTCCCCGGGAGGGGGAAGGGGGAGCCCCAGACCCCCCGCGCCGGCTACCCACACCTCAGTTCTTGAGGCTGGATGTCAAAAACGCGAAAAACCGCCGACCAGAGGGAGGGAGGGATGCCGGGGAGCCTCCGGGACTCACCCAGAAAATGGCGTTTCATTACATTCAACGCTGGTTTTCTGGGGGGAGCCCCGTCGGCTCCCCGGAGCTAACTACCCACAGACAGAAAAAGAGGGACTTACCCGGGAGGCGGTCGTCGCTCACCCCTCAACTCGAAGCCGAGACAACTGGCTGCAACCGCCGACCCAAAGCAACACAGGCCCGACGAGGGCCAGGGACATTCACAAGGTAACGAGCAGCCAGGACCCTGTTCGACCGCCAAAATCCCCGCGCCCGAATATCAGACCAAGACATATTCCCAAAGACGGCAGCAAGAGCCGCGAACTTACGAACGTCATGGGCACGGGGATAGACCGCAGGCTGGCTAGACCTAATAACCCTGCGGACGACCTGAGAGACCCGAACCCGCGAACAGGGAAGAAGGGAAACCGGATCAACCCACAGCGCGTCCCCAGACACAGAAGCTGTGGCGCGCAAATAACGGCGAAGCGCCGCAACCGGACACAAAACATGATGCACCCCCGGCCTGACCAACCAAGCATCAACCACCCATGGACCCCTCCGGAACGCAGCAGTCTCATTCTTCGCCAGAAAAGAAGGAGACGGCTGCAAACGAACAAAACTATCACCACGACCAAAAGAGCAGAAATCCCTGCGCCGGAGGAGAGCATGAAGCTCCCCTACCCGACCCCCAGAGGCCAAAGCCAACAAGAAAAGTGCCTTGGAAAAACAATCCTGGACCGAAGGGGCCACAACGAAACGAGGAGATGAAAGGAAAGCGAGCACTCTGTCCAAAGACCAGGACGGCTCAGGCGACGCATGAGCAGGCCGGAGGTGAAACAATGCACGAGACAGCTTGCGAAACGGCGCAGACGTAACATCGATACCGAAAGCAAGCTGAAGCGGCTCCGCCAGCGCCGCACGATACGAAGCGACAGTGTTAGGCATAAGATGACGGTCCTGAAACAACCACGAGAGGAAGGACAAGACCACCCGAACAGACAAGGAGCTAACACGACGAAGACGCAAAAAGAAACGGAAGGACCGCCAGGAAACTTCATACTGCCGCCGAGAAGAAGCCCTCAGGTGGGACACCAACAAGGAGGCCACCTGATCACCATAGAGATGATGATAGACTCGAGTCAAAAAAACCATACGCGAAGACTCGAGGAGAAGATCGAACCAGCTACGTGACGCACCGGCCCGATCTGCTGAAAGAGGCGGAGCCGCGGGAAAACCCTCGGGTTCGGACACCGAGCAACCAGCGCCTGAAACCAAGGCTGGGCCGGCCACCAAGGGGCCAGAAGGACAACTCACCCCTGGTAAGTCTCTAAGCGAGTCAGGACCTGGAGCAACAGCCGAACTGGGGGAAAGAGGTACAGGAACCCCCACCTCGACCAGTCGAGCCGAAAGGCATCGACCCCGACGGCCTCGCAATCTGGGAAGGGCGCCGCGTAAACGGGAAGACGCCGCGACCACGCCGACGCGAAGAGGTCCACCTCGGGGCGCCCGAACGTCTGGCAAAGCCAACGGAAGGACTCGTCGTCGACCGTCCACTCCGTGGAGAGGGGAACGAAGCGAGACAGGGCGTCGGCCAAGACGTAGGACACGCCCCGTACGTGAACCGCCAGGAGAGCCAAACCCCGAGAACTCAGCAGACGAGTCACCCGAAGCGACCAACCCCAAAGAGACAAGGACCGCATCGAACCCCCGCGGTTCAGGCAATGAACCACCGGAGAGCAGTCCGAATGGAGCCGAATCGTCGATCCGCGGGCCACCCGAATCCTCCCCAGAGCAAACCACACTGCCGCGAACTCCCGCACCGTACTGTGAGCTCGACGGAAGGACGGATCCCAACGCCCCTGGCCGGCCTGGTGAGCACTGGTCACAAAACCCCAGCCGAGAGACGACGCATCCGTGTACACATCGAGCGAGGGCTCGGGTAGGCGCCAAGGCACTGAACCCCGAAAAACCCGAAGAGGAAGCCGGTGACGCAGCAACCGACGCAAGTCCCCCGGGGGTCGAACTCTGCGATCGCTAGAGAGGCGGAAGGGGGAACCCCGAAGGAACCAGAACAGCCGTCGAAGCCAAACCCGACCCGGCGGGTAGACCACCATCGCGAAGTTCAGGCTCCCGCACAGCCCCTCGAGCAACCGCCGGGTGACCCGAGGGCCCTCCAGAAACAGACGAAGGCGGGACCGCAGCCGCAGGAGAGACTCCGGAGGGAGAGACAAGGAGGCGGTCCGAGAGTCCCACACGAGACCCAGCCAAGTCCGAACCTGAGAGGGAACCAGATGGGACTTCCTCCAGTTCACCAAGAACCCGAACCCGGCGAGCTGGGAAAGAACCAAATCCCTGGCTAGCAAGCAAGCGGACTGGCTGGGAGCCCAAACCAGCCAGTCGTCGAGGTAGGCCAACACCCGAACACCTAGGAGACGCAAACGAGCCACCACAACCCGTGTAAGGCGTGTGAACACGCGAGGTGCCAGGTTCAACCCGAACGGGAGACAACGAAAGCGGTAACTCAGACGCCCCACTACAAAACCGAGCCAGTCCCTGAACCGCGGATGAATCGGGACATGCCAATAAGCGTCCCGGAGGTCCAGGGACACCATCCAAGCACCCGGCTCCAAGAGGAGCCGAACCTGAGACAGCGTAGTCATCCGAAAGGAGGGGCAATGAACCCAGGGGTTCAGACGGGACAAGTCCAGAATGAACCGCAGGTCCGCGCAGTCCCGTTTCGGAACCGGAAACAGACGGGAAACCCATCTGAGGGACGACGTCGTTTCGACGACGCCCAAGCGTACCCACTCCAAGACGACTCGACAGAGCGCAGGGGAAGAAGCCTGCCCCGCCAGCCCCGACCCCCCAAAGGGGGGAGGGGCCACCCAACGCCACCGCAGGCCGCGAGACACGACCCGAAAGGCCCACGAATCGTGGGACCAGGCGCGGGCGAACAGCGCAAGCCGCCCCCCCATCGCCCCGTCAAAGGGGCAAACCGCGAAAAGGCCGGCGACCCTTACGAGACCCAGAACCCCGCACAGCGCGAACACCGCGCCGACCAGACGAGGGAAGGTCCGCAGGAGGAGCCAACCCCAAACCTGACACCAGAGGCCTACCACGACGAGAGGAACCCCGAGCCCTGGCACGACCTTTCCGGGAAGACCCACCCCGGGACCCCCGGAAAACCAACAAGTCCGACATCGGACGACAAGCCGCCGACGCAGCCTGAATAAACTGCGCCACGGCCGACTCCCCAAACAGGAGAGGACAAAAAGGTGAAGAACGCCTAAGAGCCAGAGCCCAAGCAGATTCCACGGAGGAACCCAGCACCGCCTGCCGACACGCGAGACGGGAAGCATAGAACAGGGAAACCGCATCCCGCAAAATCGGCGTGAACAGCTTCAACAAGGCAGCCGACGAACGCGCAGCCGAGGACAAGGTGCCGGACCCCGGGACGGACCCAAGTGTCCCCACATCCTCCACGAGCCAATCCGAAGACAGCTCCAGGAGGGAAAAGAACCGCAAGGCCGAACACAAAAGGCCCCGAGCGCGCAAGTCCTCCGCCACGAGCGCCGCCGAAAGGGAGGGAACCTGCACATGGAGCTGAATAACGCCCACATCGCGGGGAAGGGCAGGGGCAAACAAGCACTCATTCAGGTACTCAAGTTCACCCCCCAGGAAAACCTGAAGCACCGTGGAAGCTTCCCGCCACTCCAGCGTGCGGGAACGACAGAAGGAATGCCAGGAATCCAGACCAAACAAGGGGCAGTCTGCTAGCCAGGATGACTCCGGAACCTCGTAACGGAGCCAGAAAGGGAACGAAGTCCCAAACCTGAACGTGGACGGATCCATTTCCGAGGCATAATCCGGGTCACGCAGGAGGTAAGCTGCAAAGGCCGCTCGCACCACACCAGGTTGGATGCGATAAGCCGAAAACCTCCGGAAGGACGGAACCGACGTACCCGGGGGAACACGGAACCGTACCCGGGGAGGGGCCGACACCAAATCCAACTCGTACGCAGAGGGGGGGAAAGAAAACCCCACTCCTTGTAACAATAAGCCCCGCTCAGTGGGAAGAAAAACCCAGGCGGGGTCCAGCGGGGCCCAAGGCCCCCAAGTCAGCCCCTCCCCAGCCTCGAGGTCCGTCACCACAGGACCCGAGGCCGAGTCCTCTCCCCAAGCCCCGACCCCACAAGACAAGGACGGAGCAGCCGGAAAAGCTGGAGGAAGGGGGGCCCACTGGTCAGACCCTGAAGCTTCGGCCGGGAGACAAGACTCGAATGCCTCTGCCGCCCCCCCGGAAGGGGCAACCCCCGAAGCTGCCCGAGTCTCGAGATCAAGTAACCCCTGCTCCGACCCCGAAACCCTCAGACGCTTCGGGGCCGGAAGCAGGGGCGGGGGACCAGAACGAACAGAAGGGGAAGGACGAGGAGGTGCGGACTGAACCAGGATCGAAGCGACCCCCACCCCCAAGTCCGAGTCTCGAAAAGCAAAGCGGGGCAGCCCCGGGGCATCCGGGGAAGCAACCAACCGAGCGCGTTGCAATAGACGAAACCTAGACTGCAACGCACGAGCCGCCTGTACCCGAATAGAATCATCAGAGGATTGGGTAAATTGAGTCACAAGCAAGCAGCAACACTCACAGGACTCAGGGTCGAAAGTATCACCGACCCAACAGGCAGCGTGGCAGAGGCAAAAACAATGAGGGTCACCCTGAGACAAGGGGACCGAGCAACCCTCAAACTCGCACACAGCGAGTGGGGACCCCGGGGTCACATCCATCGGACCCACGCGCCCCCTAGGGGATTCCCAGGGTCCTGAGCGGTTACTTTAAGAGGACTCGCGCTCAGGTAGTCCCAGGCAGGGTGCTGCAAACCGGCGCCCAAAACTACCAAGCAAACTTCTAAAGCTGAACCCCAGGGACGTGTACACTCACGGGGACCTAGCAGGGGGCGCCACCGAGGAGAACAGTGGAAGGGCAAAAACAAACTGAATAAAATGACAGAACCCCCCACCAGGCAAAAACAAAAAGAAAAACAAAACCCCGCAAGAGGACAGCGAACCCCAAGGAACAGAGCCGGCCGCGATGTCGGGAATTACAAGCTGAGCAGCACCCTGCGCCCCTACCAGTGCAAACTGCCTCTTACCTGCCGGTAACAAGGGAGAACAGAACACCCAAGAGCCCAACAGGCGGCCGAAAAACCGAAAGGTAAAACGGACCAGCAGAGGCAGACCCCGAGGAGCCTGTGGAAGGTGGCCCCAAGCCCCAAGGGCAGTACTTACAGGGCACCTAGGGAAGGCAGCCCTAGGCGCATGCAGCCCGAGTACTGAAGATAACTCCTGGCTCTCGCACCCACAAAACTAACACCACACTCAAAGCACAGTGCAGTAGCGACACCGGAGCCAGAGCACACGACCATCGCCTATAGCATCAGCCTCAAGAACTGAGGTGTGGGTAGCCGGCGCGGGGGGTCTGGGGCTCCCCCTTCCCCCTCCCGGGGAGGGGGGAGCTGCGCAGACAGCGGCGCGGCAGTGTGTGACGTCACACTAATTTGCTTGTTTTCGGTTGGGGAGTTCTATCCACTAGTTCGGTATTAGGTAGCAATTTTAACCAGAATAGGGGTTTGTTTTGGGGCGCTTACCTTTCTGGGTGCCTGTTCCGGTCGATGGCAGACATAGAATGCTTCCAACTACACGGGGGCTTCTATAGGCCATTGCTCCCCTTGCCTCTCTGAGGGGGCCCGGTTCTGGCCGTGGTCCCCGGTAGGCCTAAGAACTCCATACACATGACTGATGCCAAAGTCTGACATTAGCATATCAGCCTGGGATAGCTCCGGGGAGCCGACGGGGCTCCCCCCAGAAAAAAGGTCAAAGTCAAACTTAGAAGGAAAGATACAAGATGCCTCACACACAGAAAACTCTTTGACCTAATTACCAATGACCATGAATTGTCAAAAGGAAACCAAGCCGAGTGTTTGGATATTGCTTCCTTTGGTTCATCTTCCCTGGTCAGGGATGAAGCTCTCACCTATATGTAGACCCAACAATGGAGCCATACTAGGCTCGCCACCAGCTTAGCATCATCAATAGGCCTTTTTACATTGTCTTGAACTCTGTTTTTTGCCATTTCCATTAATATTTTTATTTTAATGTACAGAGTTGATACCCAAAATGGTGTATATAACATAGCCTTCGACAGTGTCTTTGAATTAACTTTTCAAATTTTAAATATGAATCAGCAGAAGTGTTTTTGGAAAGACATAAATGAAAATAAAATAAGATGAATATCTACACTTTACAAACATTAACATTCAGCTACATGAATGCAACTCACAATTAATTATATTTTGTAAATTTTAAAAGGTGTAAAAGATATGTTTTGCTACCTATATGAACTTATGAATAATACAGATCTTACCTTTGCAATAGATGCCTGCAATTTACTAAGTTCATATTCCTTCTTCAAGAGTGAGAGTGCCAACATCAACCGAGCAGGAATCTAGCAAATTATAACACCGATTAAAAATCAACTCGTCGGCAGGTTGATTAGATAAATATAAGATTACTGTATTTTATACAAACATTATACAAGATATACTCATTCTGTCTATAGGTATTCCAATAGCCAGAAAACAAAAACATGTAAAGAAACATGTGAATGAAATGTAAAGAACTTTAATTGGAGAGAACATTTCACCTGATATTAATGTATACAATGTAACATAGTGTGTTGCCATGCATCTCTGGCCATCTAATTTACTAACCATAATGTTCCTTTCTTCGCATCTACCCCTGTGCCATTCTATACTTTAAGAACTGCATATTTGACTAAAAACAAAGGAACTAAATATAACCTTACCCTTTACATTAAATATAATAAATATTCTAATCTTAATTTTGTTTTGAATAAAGAGACCATTTACATTTTAATATGATATTGTAGCATGTTCATTAAAAAGACTTCCTAACATTTATATTGTTATATTCTATCTTATGATGCAGCTACTGTTGATTTTCTTGATGCACAGGTGGCCGGACACTGGTGACTGGCCTAATACGGATGACCTTACCCTTACCCAAAAAAATTAAATGCAGCACCACTAGGACATTTACCTGAGTTTCTTCTAGGACCTGTTGGAGTTCATTAGGACTAGCTGACGTCAAGGAAGCTCCCAGATCTGCCAGATAAACAGGATTATCAACTACACGCTGCCCATGCTGAATCATCTGCTGAACACTTTCCCGATACAGTGGATTAAGAGCAATGATGTCACGGATTGTCTTGATAATTTCTTGGGTCAGTGCCTGAAAAAGTCAAAGTTTCAGCCTATTCCAAAGCACAAACCTCCAACTGTGTTCATTGCTTGCATCTTAAACATACTCATATTTCTTAGTCTAGACAAATTAAAAGAATTTGCACTCTGAATAAGTGAAACATATCAGCCTAATTCATCTATATTTATCATTGTGAAATGGAGAGGAAGGGAATTATCAGGGAAAAGTGCCGTGCCATGCCATTACAACTACATAGCACTTGGAAGGGGTCTGGATAAGGATTTGGGATGGGACGGGGGAAGTAATGATGCCCAACCACTTGGATGGTCGAGGATTGAACACCGACCTGCATGAAGCGAGATCGTTGCTCTATCGTCCACCCCAAGTGGTTGGGCAGTGAAATGGAGAAAATAAGTGGATAAAGCAAAATTTAGACAAAATTGAAAAAAAAAAATAATCCAAGAAACCAGATACTGTATTGTAGATGAGGGAATGATTTACCTAACTTACATTAACCCAAATCTACCCAAATGCTCATATAATTATGTTGGTAATACAGATAGTTAAAATATTTTCCTACAGTTATTGGTAAGGAAAACTTAATGTGATTGCATATAATTGATGTTAACATATACAGTACTGTACTAATTTTATAATGAAATCCTGGTATGACCAAAAACAACAACTCATTTCCCAAACATTACAATCCTCATATAATTATGCTAATATATAGATCCAGTTACTACGTTATTTTCCAACAGTATTACTGGTAATGAAAATAGAACATGTTCCCCATATAAGAAATGTACTATCAGTGAAGTTTTTTGTCTACGGAACCGGCAGTATACGAAACGCCAATGTATGATTTGACCAGACTCGGTCTAAACCATTTCCTTAATACACAATTTAACTTACCAAGGTCAGCAATATCAAGGCCCCATGTTCACAAAGTGAGAAACTGACTGATAGTGTTATACTGAGTGAATTACTCAAGGTAACATTTGTTCTTTTAATAAATTAGGGACAAACTGTTGGCAAATGGGTCCAGAAGGAGTGTGTGCAGTGAATTAAAGTGAAAAGATTGAATGATTGAATATAAATGATAGGAGTGAATACAAGGAATGTTTAGGCAAGAAAGCTAAGCAGGTGGCATGATGTTTACTGAAACATGCAAAATTAAATGGAAACATTTAATGGAATGAGAAATTCGCAAAAGCATCTGAACACATGATAAAAATGAATTTTATGAATATAAAATGAAAGGAAAAGAATATCAAGACAAGTCACAATTATAGAGTAAAATTTATATGGCAAGGCTACTGAAGCTGAATAATAGAGAATGTAATGAACTTGAAATAAATTTGTTAGGAAGCTCAATGGAATGTAGCATACAAAAGTGCAGGAAGGAGAGCAATAGGGACTTTTGTATAAAACACCAACCTTAACTTCCTCAGTGATCTGGAATTTATCATGATTAACATTTTCCACTTGAACTACCAGCACTCGAGGTGGAGGGGGCGGAACTGGAGGAGTTTGGGTGGAAGCATCAGCCTTCTCTGAAGTACTGTCAGTAGCTCCTTCCTTTGTAACATCTGCAGTTTCACCTGCCTACAAATAAAAGCATATTATTCATTTTATTACAAATACTTCTGCCAAAGTGATTGTAACTGAATATAAAAAATAAAATCAATCCTGGACTTAAATGATATTTATGTCCAGATGTCATCAGTGGGTTAGTGCTCAACTGGGAGTCTTGCTAGCTTACACTACCTACCACAAGAATACGAGTTCTAGACATGTTAATGTTCAATTTTTGTGCACACTTCAATACTTTGGAATTACACTGTACTGTACTTCCACTTGACGGTATTCCCCCACAAAAAGATGATACAGTTGAATAAGACTGGCCATTATCCACACATCTGAGGAATTAGACAGGACGGCAGCAGCAGAAATTGCACCAAAGAGAATCCTGTCTCCTGGAACTAGGAGCAGCTTACCTCATCTTAAAGTATTACAATTCTTCTTAGTATAGCAACCCTTTACTCAAAACTTCATCAATCACAGGCATTCTTTAAAGTTACTCTTGAGAATATTGGAGACCCTCAAGAAATGTTAAGGACAGGGTTCCTGTGCTACATAAGGCTATATTAACCCATATTGTCCACATTTGTCTCTGTAATTTGAACATCTCCCAAATATTAAATTGTTAATGCATGACAATCTATAGCATACAATCATCACCACATGCAATCACTTTTTACAAACCTTTGATGTTTCTTCGGATTGTTTTCGCTTCCTCCGTAGCAATCTACGCATTCTACCATTGCCAGAATCTGCCTCACTACTTGATTTATCTTCTAAAGGAACAGTGATGGGCGAGTTAAATGGTGGAAGCCGTAGTTCAACAGTGGCTGAAATAATTCAATACAGTAAATAAAAGCTTATTTTTGAACTATACAAATATTACATGGGGCTCATAATAAATTACAATACTTACACATAGGTCTAAAGTAGCCATCAACTGAATCTTCATTATTTATTATCCTAAAGAAATATATAAAAACGTCTTCAATTTCAATGCAATTTTTTTATTATTACTTTCTACTACAGACGTAGCCACACATTTACAATGCTAATGAGCATATATACATTTTCCTCTGTCCTCCATGGACAGGGTTAGAGATGTGTTAAACTTGTGTGTTTAACATCAGTAAACATGTGATTTATTGAACAATCGCCCACAGAAAGTGACTAATGCATTTAAAATGCTAATCTAACCTACAAACATATATACACAGATTTATGTCTGTCCTATATAAACAGTGTTCGAGATGTAAGTTTACATAGTGTTGTTAATACATTTCACCTTTGTAAATACACATTAATGACACTATTTTAATGCAGTGTGAGAGAAGACTGTTTGAAGTGAATGCTGACAAAAGTAAATTTATGATGGAGTGAGAAGGAAATTGAATTTGTAAATTAAATGTGAAGTGTTTGAAAAGTAGTAGATCAATTTAAACAACGAGGATGTGTGATTGCTAAAAGAGGAATTATTGCAATCAAGTTTGAGTATGATCAGAGAAGGATTGTGGTTGATGCAATGAAGCTCTGGGTAGGAAAATAAGCCATAAACAGACGCAGCCAGAGGGCTGCATGAAGAAGTGGTGGTGCAGATTCTAGTGTATGGTTGTGAGGTGATATGGTATGAGCCTTGGATATAAAGAGTTACGAGCAGTATGTTCAAGTCCTGACCTGGGAGGATTGACTAGGTGCCAATCCTTAACGGTTCACCTTGGGTTGTGTTCAAGGGGAAACTAGTGGGTAAGGCTTACCATGAGCTATGGAAAGGGGAAAATTCTCAGCCTGCTAACAGGAGTGAGAAGTCATGTTCCTGTACCCACCTGTGTATAAAAAAAAATCACTGCTCGCTTTCTCACTCACCATGTCTGCCCATCTTCCCAGCCTTACTCTCCTACCTTCAAATTCACTCACATATGCTACACATTCACCAGTCTACCATCATCCATTCATTCAATAATACCAGTACAGTAGACAATTATTAACAAAGGACTCCATTCCAACCTTTTCCAGACTTTGCCAGCTCTTGTTCCTCCTCTTGTGGTTCATCAGGGAGGACAGCTGTCATACTGATGCGTCGGTGGGCCATCACAATCATTCGCAGCTTGTCTCCCATGTCTTGTAGCTCATGAATCTGAACAAAGGTACCGACAGGATAGAGCTCACTCATCTTATCAACGACTTCTCGCTCATCGCTGAAAGTATAGTTACAAATTTCTTATTGCCATTTTGTAAATATGTGCATAATCCACAAAACTGACAGCTATAACAGCTATTTTTTTCTTGAGTGAACAGTAATTGTAACTTTTATAGTTTTTAAATTAACATATTTGAAGTTCTGATTATCCAGATCAATTGGGACTTGATACCTTCCCTACATACTGCTGTAGCAAAATCACTTGGGGGAGGAAAAATAAACATGAAAAAGTCATTAAGTATCCAAACCATGGATACCTAACAGTAAATCAAAAGTTATACCCATACAGGGACTGCTAATGACAACAAGGGGGATACAGACCTCTCATTTTTCTTCATAAAGACTCCAGCATATGGTTGATTAAGTCGAACCTTTCTTCTTATAAGATTTATGAGGTCTTTATCTCCAACCTGTTAAAAAAAAAGTGCCATCACCTAAAATGAGTACCAATATAATTAATGTAACTGCTCAAGTAATAAATAACCAAAATGGCTTGGTACAAATCATTTTCTAAAATAACTTTGTTTTAACTTCATCGTCTGCATTTTATTTATCCCCAACCTAACTAAACCTGCCATGTCATATACTCAAATATTAGAAAATACCATGGCAGAACATTCCTACCCATTATTATGGAACTATTTGGTAAAAGAGCTCAAAAAGCTATACTGAAAACAGGCTATTAGTTAAGAACTTGTTAGATCTCCAGGTGGTGCAAAAAAAGAATGTGGAAAAGTCCAAATAGTCAGCAAACCTCAATCTTCCATTCTGATTAACTGATTTTTCCTCAACAGTACAAAATATGCTAAACAAAAACTTTAAACTTTGTAATATAAAATGTACTCATTACCTCTATAATTTTAATGAATCGTGGAAAGACTGGATTTCTGCTGATGGCAATGACAGGTACGCTGGGCCACACCTCCGGCACCATCATTGTGGCTGGAAGATTTTGAATTGTAGGACCTTCACTTCCATCATCCTGACAAGAAAAACACATGATAATTTAAGTTATACTCCAACTAGGTTACAATCCAATTTACTGAAATAATAATACTGTGTACTGTATTTAATACCCTATTAATATTTTTCTTGTTAAGCCTATTCATCCACTTGTACATTTCTATGATGCTGCCCCTAACTCTCTGCCTTTCTAGCGAGATATTTGTCCCCTGTGCATGAAATAGACTGCCTCCCAATCTTTAATGAAAGCTGCTTGTTTCAGTCTATGTTCTTTCTTCTTTCATTCTATTTAATTGGATGGTCTTATTTATCTTTTGCTAAATTCCAACTAATAGTTTGATCATAACAGATGCTTAAGAAAAATCGTACAAGAAGAATACTAAAATAAACAAAATGTTAGAAAAATGATATAGTATAGGCTGTGATTCATACGTTAGGCTGCAAACAGCCGTGTATACAGTATATATACTGTATAAAGTAGATCCCCAGTTACTGTACCACTCGGTAAACGGGAACAAACAGCAAAGAGCAGTGCTCATCTTAATGTTTTACACAGCCTATGTTCAAGTAAATTCTTGAAACATATCCAAGTAATTCAATATACTGTACAAAAACTATAAATACTGTACCGCTTGTTGTGTTTCCCCACCACTGACTCCCTCTGCACCATCTCCACGTTGGGCACAATAACTGCGATGATGCACCTGCAAAACAAAAAACAAGAAACTATACACTTCAGTAATGTACACAATACTGTACTTTGAAATATTCAGTTACTCTTCTTTGGCCCTTCTAACACTCGTAAGAACACAGTAACTGTGAAGTCCTTTAATACTTATCTTATGGCATTATATTGTACTATACTGAATTTCAATTTACAGAGCTAAACTTATCAGTCTGTACACTAATATCAATCATTTCCAGTATGATTGATTCCAAGATATACTGTACTGTAATTCCTATTATTTTATTGGTAACTTCTGAATAGCCTTGAATTTTTATATATATATATATATATATATATATATATATATATATATATATATATATATATATATATATATATATATATATATATATATATATATATATATATATATACCAACTAAAATATCTTGTGAAAATTTTGTGCATGTCTCTGTGCTGCTCTATCAATGTGTCATTTTAATCTCTGCAATCCTCTCATGTTTCCAAACACTGGTACAGCACAGTACAGTACTACAGGCCTATTGTAAACAACTTTAGATAAATCTCGACTAGTTATCTAACTAATCTTGATTTGATTTCAAAGGGAAATATTGTATTACACTTCAAATTAAATAGAGCTGATATTTAATGCATGTTCGATGGGTCACTTTGATTCCTGTCTCTGGTTAGGCCTAACACTTGCATTTTTAATAGAGCAGCAAACTGAGAGAACAGGCTGGCATTTCAAGACTTCTGAACCTTTACCTCAAATGAAAAAACTAGCGTATAACCTTTTATAGACAACAGACAATCATAGCATAGAATGACATACAAATTCTAAGTGGACATAATGTTATACAGTACTCCAGGCAATTTTTACTTTATTTTTAGCTATATTGTATTAAAATCGTGTAATACTGCACCCACAAAATCATGACGTGTCAGGGGAAAGGGGGTTCGGGGGGGGGGGGGATAGTCAAATTCTACATAACAAGAATCGACAAAACTCCTTTGCTGTTTAACCCATACATATTGTTCGGCTCCGGAAGGTTCACTGGGTTTGAGAGATTACATAACAGTGTTCCTATATTCTCGCAAAGCTACTAACAATCACAGCATTTCTAACGTTTACATATTTTCCTTTTTTGAACATACAATGTTCAATGTGAGATAATGTTATATTAGCAAGTACATAAGTAACGCACCACATACTGGACCAGTGGGTGAATAGTGTAGCAAAGGCCCCACACAAGATATATTTACCCTCAAGTGTGGTGAATATGTGCTTGAAAGTACAGAAGAAGGCTTCAGGCCGCCCACAGGAGGCAACGAAGTAGTTACAGTAGGCCCCAGAGAGGCACTGGTTGCCTGGCCTCTACCCCACCACCTCCTCCCGGGGGACTCCTGCAGGAGGGCCGAGCTGTAACACCGCCTCCCCACGATACTTCTGGCAGAACTGAAGCCCCTCTGGCGGGCCACGTGAGCCACACTCCTCCAGCACCTCGACACGTTACTCAGGTTAGCCATGGTGTGTCCCCTTCAGCTGCTGCCGCAGTCTACTGTTTACTACAGCCAGACCCACATGACTACCAGGCAGCGAACACCTCCTGACTACCACACCCACAGCGAACACCTCCTGACTACCAGACCTACAGCGAACACCTCCTGACTACCAGACCTACAGCGAACACCTCCTGACTACCAGACCTACAGCGAACACCTCCTGACTACCAGACCTACAGCGAACACCTCCTGACTACCAGACCTACAGCGAACACCTCCTGACTACCAGACCTACAGCGAACACCTGACTATTTTTCTATATTATATATTATATATTATATATTATATATATAGCAAGTACAGTACATAATATATATATATATATATATATATAAATATATATATATATATATATATATATATATATATATATATATATATATATATATATATATATATATATATATATATATATATATATATATTAAATAACCAGACCAGTTATTTAACCAGTTATTTAACCGAAGCCCGACCAGTTGTGTAACCGAAGCCCCACAAGTTGTGTAACCGGACCCTGACCAGTTGTGTAACCGCAAGCCTAGCATGAATGAACCAAACAAACAACCTCTGAATCAGAACCATGCACTAACCGAAGCCCGACCATGCACAACCCAAAGCCCAAGTGACACCCCCGGAGCCCGACCAGTTATTTAACCGGAGCCCGACCAGTTGTGTAACCGGAGCCTGACAAGTTGTGTAACCGGACCCTGACCAGTTGTGTAACTGCAAGCCTAGCATGAACGAACCGAACAAACAACCTCTGAAGCAGAACCATGCACTAACCAAAGCCCGACCATGCACAACCTGAAGCCCAAGTGACACCCCCGGAGCCCGACCAGTTATTTAACCGGAGCCCGACCAGTTGTGTAACCGGAGCCTGACAAGTTGTGTAACCGGACCCTGACCAGTTGTATAACCGGAGCCTGACCAGTTGTATAACCGGACCCTGACCTGTTGTGTAACTGCAAGCCTAGGATGCACGAACTGAACAACCTCTGAAGCAGAACCATGCACTAACCAAAGCTCGGCCATGCACAACCCGAAGCCCAAGTAACACCCTCCATAGCCCGACCAGTTATTTAACCGGAGCCCGACCAGTTGTGTAACCAAAGCCCCACCAGTTGTGTAACTGAAGCCCCACCAGTTGTGTAACCATACCCTGACCTGTTGTGTAACCACAAGCCTAGGAAGAACAAACCAAACAACATCTGGAGCACAACTATGCACGAACCGAAGCCCGACCATGCACAACCCGAAGCCCAAGTGACACCCCCGGAGCCCGACCAGTTATTTAACCGGAGCCCGACCAGTTGTGTAACCGGAGCCTGACAAGTTGTGTAACCGGACCCCGACCAGTTGTATAACCGGAGCCTGACCAGTTGTGTAACCGGACCCTGACCTGTTGTGTAACTGCAAGCCTATGATGGACGAACCGAACAAACAACCTCTGAAGCAGAACCATGCACTAACCGAAGCCCAGCTATGCACAACCCGAAGCCCAAGTGACACCCCCGGAGCCCGACCAGTTATTTAACCGGAGCCCGACCAGTTGTGTAACCGGAGCCCGACCAGTTGTGTAACCGGAAGCCTAGCATGAACGAACTGAACAAACAACATCCGAAGCACAAACATACACACACCGAAGCCCAACTATGCACAACCCGAAGCCCAAGTGACACCCCCGGAGCCCGACCAGTTATTTAACCGGAGCCCGACCAGTTATTTAACCGGAGCCCGACCAGTTATTTAACCGGAGCCCGACCAGTTGTGTAACCGAAGCCCTAACAGTTGTGTAACCGGACCCTGACCAGTTGTGTAACCACATGCCTAGCATAAACGAACCAAACAATCTCTGGATCACAACCATGCATGAACTGAAGCCCGACCATACACAACCCGAAGCCCAAGTGACACCCTCCATAGCCCGACCAGTTATTTAACCGGAGCCCGACCAGTTGTGTAACCAAAGCCCCACCAGTTGTGTAACTGAAGCACCACCAGTTGTTTAACCAGACCCCGACCAGTTGTGTAACCACAAGCCTAGGAAGAACAAACCAAACAACATCTGGAGCACAACTATGCACGAACCGAAGCCCGACCATGCACAACCCAAAGCCCAAGTGACACCCCCGGAGCCCGACCAGTTATTTAACCGGAGCCCGACCAGTTGTGTAACCGGAGCCTGACAAGTTGTGTAACCGGACCCCGACCAGTTGTATAACCGGAGCCTGACCAGTTGTGTAACCGGACCCTGACCTGTTGTGTAACTGCAAGCCTACGATGGACGAACCGAACAAACATCCTCTGAAGCAGAACCATGCACTAACCGAAGCCCAGCCATGCACAACCCGAAGCCCAAGTGACACCCCCGGAGCCCGACCAGTTATTTAACCGGAGCCCGACCAGTTGTGTAACCGGAGCCCGACCAGTTGTGTAGCCGGAAGCCTAGCATGAACGAACTGAACAAACAACATCCGAAGCACAAACATACACGCACCGAAGCCGACTATGCACAACCCGAAGCCCAAGTGACACCCCCGGAGCCCGACCAGTTATTTAACCGGAGCCCGACCAGTTGTGTAACCGGAGCCCGACCAGTTGTGTAGCCGGAAGCCTAGCATGAACGAACTGAACAAACAACATCCGAAGCACAAACATACACGCACCGAAGCCCGACTATGCACAACCCGAAGCCCAAGTGACACCCCCGGAGCCCGACCAGTTATTTAACCGGAGCCCGACCAGTTGTGTAACCGGAGCCCGACCAGTTGTGTAGCCGGAAGCCTAGCATGAACGAACTGAACAAACAACATCCGAAGCACAAACATACACGCACCGAAGCCCGACTATGCACAACCCGAAGCCCAAGTGACACCCCCGGAGCCCGACCAGTTATTTAACCGGAGCCCGACCAGTTGTGTAACCGGAGCCCGACCAGTTGTGTAGCCGGAAGCCTAGCATGAACGAACTGAACAAACAACATCCGAAGCACAAACATACACGCACCGAAGCCCGACTATGCACAACCCGAAGCCCAAGTGACACCCCCGGAGCCCGACCAGTTATTTAACCGGAGCCCGACCAGTTGTGTAACCGGAGCCCGACCAGTTGTGTAGCCGGAAGCCTAGCATGAACGAACTGAACAAACAACATCCGAAGCACAAACATACACGCACCGAAGCCCGACTATGCACAACCCGAAGCCCAAGTGACACCCCCAGAGCCCGACCAGTTTTGTAACCGGAGCCCGACCAGTTATTTAACCGGAGCCCGACCAGTTATTTAACCGGAGCCCGACCAGTTGTGTAACCGAAGCCCTAACAGTTGTGTAACCGGACCCTGACCAGTTGTGTAACCACATGCCTAGCATAAACGAACCAAACAATCTCTGGATCACAACCATGCATGAACTGAAGCCCGACCATACACAACCCGAAGCCCAAGTGACACCCTCCATAGCCCGACCAGTTATTTAACCGAAGCCCGACCAGTTGTGTAACCAAAGCCCCACCAGTTGTGTAACTGAAGCCCCACCAGTTGTGTAACCAGACCCCGACCAGTTGTGTAACCACAAGCCTAGGAAGAACAAACCAAACATCTGGAGCACAACTATGCACGAACCGAAGCCCGACCATGCACAACCCAAAGCCCAAGTGACACCCCCGGAGCCCGACCAGTTATTTAACCGGAGCCCGACCAGTTGTGTAACCGGAGCCTGACAAGTTGTGTAACCGGACCCCGACCAGTTGTATAACCGGAGCCTGACCAGTTGTGTAACCGGACCCTGACCTGTTGTGTAACTGCAAGCCTAGGATGGACGAACCGAACAAACAGCCTCTAAAGCAGAACCATGCACTAACCGAAGCCCAGCCATGCACAACCCGAAGCCCAAGTGACACCCCCGGAGCCCGACCAGTTATTTAACCGGAGCCCGACCAGTTGTGTAACCGGAGCCCGACCAGTTGTGTAGCCGGAAGCCTAGCATGAACGAACTGAACAAACAACATCCGAAGCACAAACATACACGCACCGAAGCCCGACTATGCACAACCCGAAGCCCAAGTGACACCCCCGGAGCCCGACCAGTTTTGTAACCGGAGCCCGACCAGTTATTTTTTTTTTTAACCGGAGCCCGACCAGTTATTTAACCGGAGCCCGACCAGTTGTGTAACCGAAGCCCTAACAGTTGTGTAACCGGACCCTGACCAGTTGTGTAACCACATGCCTAGCATGAACGAACCAAACAATCTCTGGATCACAACCATGCATGAATTGAAGCCCGACCATACACAACCCGAAGCCCAAGTGACACTATAGCCCGACCAGTTATTTAACCAGAGCCCGACCAGTCGTGTAACCAAAGCCCCACCAGTTTTGTAACTGAAGCCCCACCAGATGTGTAACCAGAGCCCCACCACTTGTGTAACCAGAGCCCGACCAGTTGTGTAATAGCTTGCCTAGCAAGCAAATATCTCATCCAACCCCTCACCAGTGTGCTAAGTGGGGTGCCAAAGGGTCCATTTTGGGCCAACCCTTTTTGTCATATACATAGTAGATGTGAATATTACAAACCACATCAAAATTGCAGATGACACTAAGATCTATGGTAAAGTGGAAAGTGAAAGCCATATTCAAACCTTACAAAAATATCTACATGAACTCCGCAAATGGTTAGATGACTTTAATGTTGATAAATCCAAGACCTTGCATGTGGGGGCATAACAATCCACGTCACAACTACCAAATTGTCAGCACTACCTTTCAACAGATAGATGAAGAAAGGGACCTTGATGTCAGAATCCATCACGTGAGGCATAATACACAACACAACTACCAAATCATCAACATTATCTTGGAGTCAGAATCCACCAATCACTGATAGTTGTACAACAAGTGGGAGCGGCAGTAAAAAGCAAACCAAACCCTGGGAATAATCATGCGTACCTTTACCTGCAAGGAAAAGAAAGTAGACCTTCAATTGTATAAGTTTCTGGTGCGTCCTCCCATGAATTATTGCAACCAGGCATGGAGACCTCATCTTCAGAAAGGTACACAGCTGCTCTGGAGCCATGTCTTACCAGAGCTATGGAGCTATGTCTTACGACAAAAATCATACCAGAGCTTAGTCATCTCTCGTATCAGGAACGGTTGAGGGCCACAGGGCTAACACCACAAACCAGGCATGAGAGGGCGGACTTCATAAAAACCTTTAAAATACTAAACAATTTGGAGGATGTAGACCAGGACAATGTCTTCAAAAGGTCAGATGTTACATGAACAAGGAGCCACGGGTTCAAACTCAACAAGCCAGAATGTTGGACAAGAAACAGGAGATGCTTTTTCACCCATAGGGTTGTAAACCCGTGGAACCGCCTACCCGCCGAAGCCGTAAACGCCAAAACCTTGCTGAGTTTTAAAATACAGCTGGAAAAGGTCATCAGGGAAAATGGGGGGGGAACTTTGACAAGCCGCCGTCTTACTATCCTCATCGAGGCCACTAGTGTTAGTGGCCCTCAAGTAAATTCAGTTCCTGGAGAGGTGTCCCCGCTCCTTCCTGTTGGCAAGTTGTTCATCTATTACAGTGCACTCAGGACTGTCGCTTATCACTAAACTTAGTTTTTAAAACTATTAACTTGATGAAATAATATTACCTTATACGCGAGAATAATTCTGAATACGCAGCACGATAAAATAGACGAATGCGGCTTTGGGTCGGGCGGCGGCGTAAGGGAGCCTGGCCTGAGGACAGGCAACTGTGAATGCTTCACCCTCCACATACTTCAAGTGCAAATAACTGCCAACAGAACCTAAATACCGAACCTACTATACGCCTAATTAAACCTAGAATATAAAATTAATTTATACACGATAAAACCTATTTTAAATACACAGTACATGAAAGTCGATAATAAACAAGTCTTAGGAGGTGGCGAGGGGGGAAGGGGAGGGGGGGGGTCGACCGCCGCGTTAACGAGCCTAGCCTGACGACGGGGTGGTTTAACACTATGGGGAAGTGTATTCTACATAATATTCTACCCCATATAATGTTGGCAAATCATGATCCTCATAATCTTCCACAATATCCGCGAGAGGTCAGACTATTTAGCATTAGTGGAATACAAACATTTGAATACTACACAACCCGGATGAAAAAAAAATACGGAAACCAATTACACTAGACGACATTACAAAAACTCAGTTATAATAACGAACAAATGTATAATGCATTAAGCATTGTAGGTGGTGGTAGACTATATATTCATGCTACCTCCCAACTGTTCAAATAGCAAAAAAAAATTATCAGCCTTACCAACACGGGAGCGACATACTCACGCCGCCGCTGCTTCCTGACGACTAACTGGGTCGGCGTCGAGGACCCGTAGCCGTCCAACCGACCCCAGGGACCCTCTGCCTAAAATTATTTGAACACCATATTGAAATTCCTAGCGTATAGCGCCAGGAATGTGTAAATTAATATTTATATATGCATTATAGGCCTTTCTAAAGTAATTTATAAATCTGAATATCATATATTGTCTAACAAACGAATTATTTAAGTTAATATTTTAATTATGCCAGATACAAGTCTCTTCGCTCACAAGAAGATTCGTCAACGGATTTTGTTTATTTTTTGTATTTATATATAAAAAGAGTTCTTAAATTCTTGTAAAGCCACTAGCATACATAACGTTTCGAGCAAGTCCTTAATTCAAATTTTTTGCCCGTAATACGACCCGCCAAATTGTTTAACAACCTATTCTCTGCCGGGTGAACAGTTAAGGATCGTCGTCGCCCGGGCAATCCTTCCCGGCCGGCAGGTCAAAGCGCTGGCGAAGAGCTGGGCGCATGCTTTACCACTACGCCACAGATTTATTATTAACATCTTTATTGACAAAATTAATTACAATTTTGCCTAATCTGAGGATTTCAATTAAACCTTTTTAAAGTGAGGATAATGCTAGTATTCACTGTCACGCAGGACAGAGGGTCGACTGCTTCGTGGTGTAGTGGGATTTTGAATTTTGAAATCTGACTAACCTAGCTCAACCCAACCTAACGTAACCCGAATCAAACCAATCTAATCCAACCGAACCCAATGCAGCCTAACCTTAATAACATAACCTAATACAGCCTAGCATAACAATACATCCGGTTTTAAAAGAGAAAATGAGTTTAGCCAAATCGTCTCGTGTCCGAAACGACCATATCCCGACCAGTTGTGTACCCAGAGCACAACCAATTGTGTACCCACAGGCCTAGCAAACAAACACCTCACCTAACCAGACAAACACGCCCCTAACTCTACCAAGCACACTGAGAGTCCTACCAAAGTAGGGAGGGTCCATAGACGAGAACGTGGTTGTAAGTATAGGTCCACAGGCATGGGTCCCAGTGCCCATCATCTGGGTCGGGGGGCAACAGTGCATTGCTTTGCTCAGAGAGTATAATGCTGCTAACACAGCCCTGCCTTCAATAAGCAAACTTTTCAGGATTATTTAATGAGCTAAGATTTACCTGAATTTACCAGAGGGTTACTATCTCTCAGTGAGGATAGGAAGCCGGGGATTTTATCGAGCAATGTTTTGGCATTTACGGCTTCGGCGGCTATGCGTTTCCACAACTTTATAATTGTTGTTTGAGTTAAAATCCATCCAAACCTTGAGCTCCTTGAGTTTGGATGGCTTTTAAAATATTTTTCATGATTTAATAGTGGTAAGACACTCGCCTGGCGTTCCCCGAGCGCTTTGTCATGAGTTCGTATCCTGGCCGGGGAGGATTTACTGGGCGCAAATCCTTAACTGTAGCCTCTGTTTAACTCAACAGTAAAATGTGTACTTGGTTGTAACAACGATTCTTCGCGGCGGGGATCGTATTCCAGGGATCTGCCCGAAACGCTACGCGTACTAGTGGCTGTACAAGAATGTAACAACTCTTGTATATATCTCAAAAAGAAAAAAAAAAAAAGATTAGTGGACCATCATGCCTAAGCCCTTTTTCTTTCTCCATCTATAATAAAGCCGGGTTACCAATAGGGGTAACTGCAGTGAATACTCTTGTGTCTCGCATGTAGCGTCATGCATTTTCCAGTACCGATAATAATTTGCACCAATTTAACCATTTGTGGCATTGACATTTTCAGAAAAAGTGCTGAAGTTGAGGGATTAATAAGATACTAGTTGCTTTTTGTGGGAGGGTTGAGCTTCGGCTCTTTGGTCCTGCCTCTCGACTGTCAATCAAAGTGTGTGTGTGTGTGTATTTGCTATTTGTGTCTGCAGATTTGAGCTGTTAACTCCTAGACCCCGTCTTTCTATCTGCCGATTGTCTAATGTACTGACTCCCGACCTATATTTCCTCATATCAACTACATACATTTCTCTCAAACACACACACACGGATCCTGGGTAGCTGTCTAACTCTCAAGGACGTATTTAGTGCTAGGTGACCAAGGGCATCAGGATGAAAGAATCTGCCCATTTGTTTCCGCCTCCGCCGGGAATCGAATCCAGGCTCTTAGAACTACTCTATCCACCCCCTGAGCGCAATCCACTCAGCTGCGAAGCCCCATTTGTCCACGGTCTGTGGGTGCATGTTGGGTGTGTTTGCGGTGAAGAGAGAGAGAAGGTGAGGTCACTATCAACATCATCCATCCTGGAGCACATCCTGGAGCCGGAGTGTCTCATATCCCTCTGCCCCGCCCGGCCTCCATGCTGCCTGCCTCTGCAGTGGAAGCTGCCTGTTGCAACACATCTGGAATACTTGCACTTAGAATTGCAATGGGAATTTCAGCAACAACATTAAGAACGCCGTAATCTAGCAGAGTCTCCTGAGTCTCCTGTGGAGAATTTAAAAATCTTAGTAACTATTGATTTTCTTTTAATTCTATGCACACAGTGATAGCCCCTGTTCCACGATGATGGCCCCTGTTCCACAGTGATGCCCCTGTTCCACAGTGATGGCCCTGTTCCACAGTCACACGTCTGCGAAAGTTTGCTTCTGTGGAAACGGAAGTTTAAATCAAACCGGAAATTACATCATAAGTATGAAATTCTGATGAAATTTAAATTTGCTCTTATACTTGTTCATTAGCAGTGTGATGCGTGTTAACGAAGGGAAAGGTTATTAGTGTTCTATGGCCTGTTACCTGGTATATCTCATTCTATATGGTGATCTCTGTACATTACCCGGACCTTATTTAACAAATTGCCTTGTTAAATATATATATATTTGCATTAATTCCTACATGCATTAAAGAACAGCAATGAATGGGACCTGGTATGCTTATCAGCGTAGTATCTTTATCCACTCCTGAACGATAAGTTTTTATCTCTCATTCAGAAGTATACGGTGACGCGATGGCTAGTCCGGCACGGTAGGGACGTTATGTCGCTCATATCTCTCTTATATTTTACTACTTAACTTTATTTAATCACTAGAAGCAAACCTCTATACTTAACTGTTACTTGGTATCATATTAACGAGGTGCAGTCAATGTAGGTGTGAGAGGATGTTCGTTATAATGAACCAAAAGCTGGTGTGTACAGGAAATGTGGAGAGGAAGTGGCGCGATACCGTAGCTGCGGCTGTCCTGGCCCCGGCGCTCATCCGCCGCCTTGGAATGAACGTCATTAAACGCCCTCCTGCCTCGTGAAAGAGATGTCAGTGGTCCCGTTTTGCCTGAAAGCTGTGACACAAGATGACGCCAGGGCCAGGAGGATGTGACCTTTACGTAAGCACTTAGTTGGTCTGCTTGGGTAAAGGCGTACGGTTCTGTCGGCGAGGAGGGTCCTAAGTATCGTACCTCGTCTCCTCAAGCATGATGCCGCCGACACTGCTCTGTCTGCTTAGTATGCTCTGCTGGACGGCAGTTTCTCCGTTCTCAGAAACACCAGGTGAGGCCATTCGCCGTTTACTCTCTCAATCGTCTTTTAAACGTGTTAAGATATGAAAAGTTTGATCGTCGCCACTTGTAGCCTAGCGCGATCCACCCCTAAACCGGTTGAGTAAAGCAGTCCTCAGAAGTGCACAGGACTCGACATGTATCGTGATAATAGGGGTTTCTGAAAGTGACTCTTAGAACTATCCACTCATTATATATTTTGTGTCGAAGGTCACTCGTTGATGTTGTTTTAGATTCAGCTACTGGGAACCAAAAGTTGCAGGTAGCACGGGCTATGGTGAGCCCGTAGTGGACTTACCTGGCACAGGAGCGGGGCTGTAACTTCGACGGAAGGTCACTTGCCCGATACTCTTCAAGTTTACATTCGCGTTGTTAAGGTTTTCACAATCTCATTAAGGACACTCCATGAGGACAGGACTTTACTCCAAGACCTTTTTATCCAGAAGATGTGCTATATAGCCTTCCCGGCTTGGTGCCTTCTTTTGATAATTACTTACTTCCCTTGAAGACCCTCCCAGACCTCCTCATCTCTCTCCTTAAGGACGCTTCCAGACCTTATCTCTTTCCATGCGGATACTGCCAGAATTTCCATTAGCTCACAGAATCTTAACGACGCTTTTCTTACCATAAAATTAATATTTGACAAGCAAGATTTCCTTCCTCTGAACTTATGTTGGTATTTGGGGACGAAATTCACGAGTTCCAGGGTCCTCCTTCGGATCATTTGATCTAGTAGCTTGCAAGTGATGCTTGTCAGTGATTCGTTCTGTAATTCAGTGGCTCTTGTCTTCTTATTTTCTAATAATGATTTCACACTTCAAGTTTTCTAAATGAAAACTCGTCATACTTCTTCCGAGCAGCATTTTAGCATCCGTGAACATTGGCATATTGGAGTCTTTATACTCAGTCTGGTCACTGACATAAGAAAAAGAATGAGTCCCCAGTAGTGATCCTTGCGGCACTTCGATGGTTATAAGGCTCCATCTTGACTTGAAGCCTCGCACTGTGATTGTTGTATACAAAATAAGTTCAGGTTTTGCAGTATTATAATTTAAGGGCATTAGAAAATTGAAACAGTCTAACCATAAACCTAATCTAAATTGCCCTAGTCCTTATTAAGCAATTCTGTGCCTAACATTCTCAATTTTAGGCCTAAAATAATACACATGTATTATATGTGTATACATATAGTACATTTAGAAAACATATACATATATATATATATATATATATATATATATATATATATATATATATATATATATATATATATATAGATATATATATATATATATATATATATATATATATAGATATATATATATATATATATATATATATATATATATTATATATATATATATATATATATATATGTGTGTATACATATAGATAACAATACACAGTTGTATGATATGTGTATATAGTACACATACACATCACAAGCCTCATCATGAGCCTTAGAAAAGTTACGTTTAAGTGTTGTAACTGTTCTATGGCCTCTACAAAATTGGTAGTAAAAACTTATAATTTTTGTGTGCAAGAGTCCAGATTTTGTATATTTCATTCATAGTAGCTATAGGTACTATCAGTTTTGGATGACAGGTTGTTTATTGCACACTTACCTTATCGCTGGTGAGGCAAGGAGTTGCACAATCGCATGACTTGTGCTTCCGGAAACAAATCGTCAGATATGCTGCAATAAATGCGGTCGTTCGCCTCCTCTGAAGTCGTCCCTCGTTAATATCATTATCATGATTATTTTGTATTTAGCTATCATTCATTCTTAGTCTTATTATTCGTGTTATTTCACTTCTCTCTTCTTTTTTTATGCTTCTTAACTATGGCGTTTGTTGTTTCTCTCAATCTAATTATGAACTTCATAAGAGATGTGCACCACCACACCCTGCAATGTTGCACACACATTATTCTGTACACCGCCATGCACTACTTTGCATGCAATTCTAATACTAATAATAATAATAATAAATAATTTATAAAAGTGTACATACATATGATACATGAACAGTGGAGGACACGGGTAAATTAAGTGTAATGCATAAAGCCACTAATACACAGAACGTTTCGGGCTTACAGAAGCCAATTATAGTTGGATACATAGAGGGCTATGTATCCCTTTATATACTGCCAATAGATTTGATGGCAGCCTGGCTAAGCGAGAGTAGCCTAACATAAATTCTATGGAGCAAAATACATTTGATTGTATTTTTCTCAAGCGGTGCTTCGGTCAATTTCTCTGCTCAATTTTTTTATTATTAACACATAACACATTTAGGTACATCTGCATTTGTGCAGCTACCCTAGACTATATGAAGGGGAGTACAGTGTGTCAAAAAACTAGCTACGTTATGCTAAAAATCCCCATCACACAGGATGGTTAGTCATGCAGAGGCATGATAAGCAGTCTGCACTGGAAAACTCTGGGTGCATTATGAGGATATCATCATGAACACAAGAGTGAATAAGGCAGCAGTGATACTAAAAGTCCCAATCTCGCTGAATCCCACCTGTATAAATGCTTCTTCCACGGATATTAACTGCCAAGAGAACCTAACCTAAGCCAGGCCTAACTAAATACAACACATTCTAGTATATAATAGTATTTATTTATATTTGAGAAAATGCTAATTTTGATTACGCAGTGCGTTAAAATTGACGAATGCGTCTTCGGGGGGCGGGTTGGATGAGCCTAGCCTGAGGCCAGGTTGATGCGAAATGAGGCTTTTCTTAGCATTTCATAGTTAGCTCTTGACACTCTGTAACCCTTCATATAGTCTAGAGCAGCTACAGAAGCGCACCTGCACCTAAATACTGTAATAACAACAAATCCTGAATAGTGCCTACGACTAAAGATACAACTCTCGGTTTTCATGTCCCTGTTATTATCTTCAAAGATATAACAACGTTGTTAAGGCTCCCAAACAAGCTGAATGTTATAAGCTCATTATGTATCACTATTGTTGACAAGTGTTGAGAGTAATGGTTACTTCTTGGAACGCATTTTAGACTTTTATCACTTAACTAGATGTGAGGCTATTATAATTATCAAGATCTTTAAAATCTTTCAGATCTTCAACTGGATATAAGCAGGTAGATAACGTAATCATCCCTGTCTCGCCACTCCAGATCTCAGGATGAAATTAAATGGTGTTCTTGATAGTATAAATTGATAGTACAAACCTATTTTACAGTTGGTAAATAACTATATATATTTCTCATTTCATCACGAATAATATTTAGCATATTAGGAGCATTAATTCTTGTGGGTTTAGGTTGTAACCTCCAATAAGGTTGTTTTTAAGTCCCACTAGGTCAACTACTGTGACCTTTGCCTAGACGTAACCCACAATTATTGCCTAACTTCCAGGTACCTATTTCCTGGTAGGGAAAAAGTACATCTGGTGAAAGAAAACGTGCCCAACCACTTCTGTGGTTCCGGGGACTGAACGTCGATTGTGAGTTGAGGATGTAGCCTTCTGTACTTCAGTACCCAACCATTATTGTTAGGTTGTTGTTATACATTCAGCTACTAGGAACAAGTTCCAAGTAGCACAGGCTATGGTGAGCCCGTAGTGAACTTACCTGGCACAGGAGCGGGGCAAGTAGCACGGGCTATGGTGAGTCCGTAGTGGACTTACCTGGCACAGGAGCGGGGCAAGTAGCACGGGCTACGGTGAGCCCGTAGTGGACTTACCTGGCACAGGAGCGGTGCTGTATTGTTAAGCATCACACATTGGTACATTAGCCTAAGCTTAGGTGTGGTGCAGGCGCCCGAGGGAAGGATAACGATGCTTGTAGCGGGTGAGATAAAGCTGATACATGCAGATTACATCCGCGATAACCTCGCTCACCATCCTCACCGATACGCACAGATGTTTTCGTTTTCCTCATTAGCCACTTTAGCTGATGGTACCGGCGTTTATTACTGGCCCCCAACCAGGGTCATGGGTACAAGTTCTCGCGTTCATTACTGGCCCCTAACCAGGGACATGGGTACAAGTGAACAAATCCACAAGGTCGTGACGTGACGTCCTCTTGCATAAGATGAAAAATGTCAACACTATTAAATGTTTAACATTAATTTATGTGGGACAGAGACATGCAGGCATCACCCGGAGGCTGCCACACTGAAGAAGTCCTGGCCGGTGCTGGCTGCCGTGAAGGTGCCCCCCATGACCGATGCTTCTCTGCGCCTCAGCTTATCCCACAAGAACCACACCCACACCAACCTCACCCTCGCCTACAGAAATAAGGTTAATAAGAACACTTCTCATTACTAATACAATTCTGGCACTTGTGCTTCGTGTTGTGGATAGTTATCTTCAATACACCGTCAAAATTCCCAGATCTTTTGAGTTTTACAACAGTATTGAGTCTTCCCGCTGCTCCACACTCAGTCTTACCGCTGCTCCACACCCTCAGTCAGTGGCATGTGCCTTTCAACTTTATGTCAGATACTAAAAAGAAAAGATCTGCAAATTATCTTTTGTTTTTGAATTCTTTTCTTTCATACATTATTATAATTTTCTGTCATCTGACTCAAATCAACTTTGTCAGGAAGTCGCATAGACTTGCTGCACCCAGACTGACTGTCGTAACAACAGCGATGGTCATTAGCACAGAGACATTAGAAAGAACTTTTTCAGTGTCAGAGTAGTTAGTAAATGGAATGCACCAGGCAGTGATGTGGTGGAGGCTGACTCCATACACAGTTTCAAGTGTAGATATGATAGAGCCCAGTAGGCTCAGGAACCTGTACACCAGTTGATTGACAGTTGAGAGGCGGGACCAAAGAGCCACAGCTCAACCCCCGCAAACACAACTAGGTGAGTACACACAGGTTAAGACGCACGGGATCACGTGTCCTTTATTCTCGTGTTCTTATGATAATATTTTGACAGGTAAATGATGCACTGCTGGTGGAGGTGGTGGTGGAGAGCGAGGAGCTGCAAACCAAGACCAGCTTGATGGCACTTCTCATACCGGAAGCCTGGAGCATCCTGAAGCTTAACCTCCACAAGACCAGATTTACGGTGGTGGTGGTTGGCAGTAGTCACTCTTACAACTACACCAGCCGCGCCGAGGCCGAGTTCTTGCACCACCTGGTCGTCGACACCGTCTCCTCCAGCAGCGAACCGAAGCAACTCATTGACGTTGATCTCATGTGTCTTTATAGTGAGTGTTTAGGTCAGTTATCATGGGGCCCGGACCCATGATACGGGCGGTGGCAGAGAGGTGATGTAGGCACGTAGTGAGCTCAGGAGCTGAAGTACGATATTCGTGTAGTTAAACAGGTTGCAGTCTATATTTGAGAGTATTGGCACCTGCATCTTTTTTTCACGGGCTCACCATAGCCCGTGCTACATAGACACTCCGTCCTGAATAGCTAAATCTTTAACAACAACAACATTCTTGCTCACTTCCGGGCTCACCATAGCCCGTGCTACTGGAACTTATCGTTCTGAATAGCGAATCTTAAACAACAACGACAACCTGCATCTTGTCATTACTTTAGGTAGTCAGTTTACCCGCTTACGGATGTATAACACTGAAAGATTCGTTCCCCTCATTAACAAGTAAACTGAATAGCTGGGCTGCTATACTGATATTATCTTTAATTACAATTTTTAACGTCAATTCAGTGGCAAAATATTTTTAAGTATAAATAATCTTACTCATGGGGTGACTATGTTGTCTATACCTTCGTCAGAATATCAAGGCTAATTTTAGCATGAGTGTAAATGTGTTTGCCAAATGTAGAGTTATCGCAAAGAATCCAGTATTTGATGCAGATAAATATAATGAATATTTCTTGTTACAGAGCACGGGGAGAGTCCGGGTGAGTCTGGCAGGAGACACAGTGAGACGGAGGAGAGTTCCAGCGGCCATGGAACGCCTGCTTGGCCCTTCTTCTTAGTGTTCTTCCTGCTTCTGATAGTGTGTCTGCTCTTCCTAGCCTGGCGCTACCAGCACAACCAGATCAAGCTGCGACGGCGGCTCCAGGCACAAATTGAAGCCGCCATGAAGAGGAACAGCGAGAGGCGGTCTCGGCGAGGAAGCTCAGTTGCCAGTGGCAGTCCGGAGGCCAGGGAAGAGGTCGAGGGAGGCAGGGTGAGCGAGAGAGTGCAGTACTCCACTATACTAGTTAGCTACGACGGCCCCTGCACCACGGAGGACGAGCCCGCGCCTCCGCCACCTGCCCGCTCATCCTTCATCACCCCCAACACCAGACCAGCCTCCGTGTGGTCGTGACTATTCTCTCACACACATAAATCCATCTCCCTGGTATTTGCCACACTGTATTGGAAACAATGATCTGTTCATTGAACAAATCCACAAGGGCCGTGACGGGGATTCGAACCTGCGTCCGGAAGCATCCAAGACACTGCCTTAATCGACTGAGCTAATCCCGCAGGTTCGAATCCTCGTCACGGCCCTTGTGGATTTGTTCATTTGATGCATCACGTTAGTGTGATCTCTGTGTGTGATCTGTTCATTATACAATATACTGTATTGCGGTTTTGAGGAAAGTACTCAAAATAAAGTGTTGTTTTGCTATGTTTGTTCTCACAAAAGTGTTTGTGAAATTCTGGCGAAGTATAACGTGTTTATATCAAAATATGCAAAGGTAATTAGCGACTGAAGGACGGCATTATTAAGTATTGTTGAGATAAACAAACCCGGAGACCGCCGTGGTCGGGGCCGGAGAAGAACCACCCCAGCAAGGGGCAAGAACGACCCCAGCCTCCTGTAGCAGAGCCTAGGGCCGCACGAGCCCCAGAAAGGGGGACGTCTGAGCCCCAGGAGGGGGACGTCTGAGCCCCAGGAGGGGGACGTCTGAGCCCCAGGAGGGGGACGTCTGAGCCCCAGGAGGGGAACGTCTGAGCCCCAGGAGGGGGACGTCTGAGCCCCGCACTTACCTACTGTTCCAGAGATCGTCACAGTCCCCCCTTTCACCCGAGGCCGGATTCCTTCATAGCATAAGGACTAATAATAATTAATTAATTATAATAATAAATATGTGTAATATACTTATCTAATATACCAAATAGTTATACATAGGATATAAGAACGGGAATTAATTAGCCACCAGATAACAAAATATTATCGTGTCCCCCTAAAATAATGCGCCTTGAGGTTCATAGAAAATTTATAATTTTAAGGTACACTATAGAATTTTTCGAACTCAATTTATTAATTCGCCTTGTTTTGTCGGGGACAGGTAGCCTTTGTGCATATATATTTAGGATTGTATCGAGGTCCCTGGTAACTATTGGACCACGGTATCCATGTTGATACCTCTTGGTATATATTCTCCTTGTGTGTATATTTTGGGAAGTATTATGGAATGAAACAACTTATGTAAAGTTATTTTATTTACAAGATATATAGTTTACCTGTATAGTATATTATATAGTATATAGTACAGTATATGAACATTTATAATATAAGGACAATTCTTAAAAGCTTAAGAATGCGTACAAAATATTTTCCAAGTCTGTGATTTCTCCCCCGTCAGAAAATTAGATTTCGATTTACTTTTCCCATTAAAATGCGGGAATATATATTAGAGATAAATAGCCTCAGATATTCTGTTCCGCGTTCATATATCATTTTAGTGTTTATATAAAGTGTTGGGAAGCCGAGTTCCCTCAGAAGACATATGCAACTGTAGTGAAGGTATGAGAGCTTCCTTTTATGTCTCATCTGAGGAAGCTATAGGCTTTCCAACACTTAACATAGAAACTAAGAAGAAATATGAACACTGAACAGAAATATGAGTACTGAGAAGATTGGAAAAGATTGGAAACAAATAAATAAAGACATGCCAGTGTGTTTACCATTGAATTATTCAGATATTAAAGAAATTAGACACTTAAATTAAGGCCACAAGTCTCATTAGGAGTTTTGGGTTAATATTGATATCTTTGGATTAATTTGTATTCTTATATTTCGTAACAGCTGGTTTCTTCAGACACTTTGTTTACATGGTTACCTTACAAACCTGCCCGGAACTGCGGGCTCACCATAGTCCGTGCTACTTGGAACTTTTTGTTCCAGGTAGCGAATCTTTAACAACAACAACCTGCCTGGATTGCAATGCATGTTATAGTGGCTTTGCAAGGAACTACTACATAATAACTAATGTATGTACTCTCACAACCTATTAATTGCACCTTCTTATATATAAATACACAAATAAAACTTTTATGTGTGTTTTTCCTTATTTTTAAATTCAATAACTTAAAGTACAAATTTGTGTATGAATTTAAACTTGTATATATATATATATATATATATATATATATATATATATATATATATATATATATATATATATATATATATATATATATATATATATATATATATATATATATATATATTGGATTCTATACCAACACATGTAATCATTCTACATTTCACTTGATAAAGTGATAATATTATACACATGGGAAAAAAATGAAATAAATTAAGTAAATATCAGGAGCAGGACTTATAAACGATTACACAAGATGTAATGCAACTTTCTTAATTAACTTATAGATGCTGCTTCTTGAAGTTTACATCCTTCTTTTATTAAGTATTTTTCCAAGTGTTTCTCTCGAGCTCAGGATAGTCTCCTGAGACTGATTGATGCTTATTTACTTATAAACATTAAATTGCGCAAAGCACAGAGTACACAGTAAGAACATTACCGTAATGAACACAGAGTGTAGACGAATATGCCTTAACTAGTTAAATTGGTTAAGGTGTACAAGTTTAAGGTGTATATTTGTGTATACTGCAAGACATAAAATAATGAACAAGTAATGCATGGGAATAATAGGCTATGCAGGACCCTGTAATTACAATAGGAGTACATTTGTACATGCATTATCGGTAGGGATGGGATGGCAAGTTTATTTATTTATTTATATACAAGAAGGTACATTGGGGGGTTAACAGAGAACATAGAAATTAAGTTGATTTTACATTCTTGTAAAGCACGCATAGCGTTTCGTTGTTGTTGTTGTTTAAGATTCGCTACCTGGAACAAAAAGTTCCAAGTAACACGGGCTATGGTGAGCCCGTGACGGGCAAGTGATGCTGTATGCGCACATAAAAGTGAGGAGAGAACTGTAAGCTATGATGATTTCTGTTATCACACGGATAATTCAAGGTTTCTCCTCTGCAAATTTTATGATTCCTGTAAATAATAATAACTTCGTAGATTCATCTATTGTCTTATGTATGACCCTCTGTCCTATGTGACAGTGAATACCAGCATTATCCTCACTTTAATAAGACTATCAAAATCCTCAGATTAGGCAAAATTGTAATTAATTTTGTCAATAAAGATGTTAATAAAAATAATTTCTGAGAGAGTTTAAACTATATGTACAGAAACATTTATCACATATCTATCTTACCATTAAATTGTTAAAATTATTCAAGCTTTTCTTCTCTTTTTTATTAATCCATTTACCAAAATAAATCCTTATATATAAATGGCTGTGTTCAACCATGACAGAACGTTGAGTATGTTTTGACAGTTGGAAATGTTGGCAAGCTTGGTGTTGTGAGTGCGAGAGGGTTGGCTGGCTTGGCGGGTGTGGAGCGGCCAGGACCAGTGTGTAGTCATGGGGTGTAAGGGTAGCTACGCCAGTGAGTTCCTCCGGTATCTTGAGGATTTTGTGGCTAATATACGTCCAGATGATCCTTTACCAGTGCGTGCACCTAACTATAAAGTTACGGAGAGTGAGATCGACGGCCAGATTCTGGATATAGTGCATCACTACTTGAGTAGCAGGTGAGTTGACAAGTGACGTGGATGCGTTCTAAGTTCAACTTCAAACTAGGAGGCGTCTGTGTGTGTATTAAAGATGTGTGTTGAATTTCTAGCACCACGCGGGCTGAGAAGGGCCCAAGCAGGCGCCCCTCCGCTTGCAGTGTGGCATCGACGGTGGAGGGTGTCCTCGGGGATGACCCATACGTCAACACCTGCCTCGGGACACCCCAAGCGTGGAGTTTGTTTACATGTGCTCCAGACTCTTGGACAGGTCCACCCGTCCTGGAAGACTCGTCCTCTCACCTGGAAGACTCGTCTTCTCAGCTAAAAGACTCGTCCTCTGAGCTGGAAGACTCGTCCTCTGAGCTGGAAGGCTTCATCTCAGCTGGAAGGCTCTTCCTCTCAGCTGGAAGGCTTCATCTCAGCTGGAAGGCCCTTCCTCTGAGCTGAAAAGCTCTTCCTCTCAGCTGGAAGGCCCTATCTCTGAGCTGGAAGGCTTCATCTCGGCTGGAAGGCTCTTCCTCTCAGCTGGAAGGCCTTGCCTCTCACCTGGAAGGCTTCATCTCAGCTGGAAGGCCCTTCCTCTGAGCTGGAAGGCCCTGCCTCTCGGCTGGAAGCGCTTTCAAACAATATTTGTATTTAGTTGTAGTTTACCTGTACAGTTTTTGCCCCTTGATCAGAGATGCGATAGGATCGAAAGCAATCGATAGTAAGTGTGCAAAGCGGGGAGACTGGAAGGCTGGCCAGGAAATAGCCGGTGTATAGGAGGCTGTGTCTCGTGAAATCCTAGAAAGGAAGACGTGAGGGTTGGTCCCAGGGGTGGCTGGGAGGTGGTTACTGAGAGGGATGCTGGGGGGTGGGGTCCCAGGTAGGGATGTTCGTGGGGGGGTTCCCAGAGAGGGGTTCTTGGGGCGGGGGTCCCAGCTAAAGAAGCACGAAAGGTGGGGTGTGGGTGGGTAAGGGGGTCCCAGTGTTGGGGGGCTCAGTGGTCTGTAGAGTAAGATGCAAGGGGGCCCATTAAGGGAGACACATGGGGTTGGGGGACAGGTGGTCTGAGAGAGGAAGACACATGAGGGGTGAGGCGTTGGGATTTCTATTTCGCAATCGTTCGTGAATCTGTAGTCAACACGCAGTTACCTCGTAGTTCATCACATGCTTGAATATAATTATTGCAGCCTTTTTTATGACGATTTTATTTAAGAGGTATTGTTTTAAGTGTTATTTTTTGGTTGTCTTACTTTTGTTACGTCTGTTAAACGCATAAATGCCCCCTCCTTTACGTCAGACTGGTGTGGTGAGGTCATTGCCCAGCTAATCTCAATAGTGGGGTCAGATTTCCATTTGCATTAATAAACCCTTGCAAGATGTTGACAATTGTTCAGTGGAAGTTCGGATTAGTCAGACCAGTTAGTTGTTGTAGTAATGTTTCACAACATTTACATGCCAAGAGCCCATAGTTGGCGAAACATAATTTTTATGTACCTTTTCACAGTGGTTTATCAGGTTTACTTAGTGCTAGGTGACAGTTGCTGGAGATCTCGGTACCTACCCACAGCAAGGTGGTAGAGACAGTCACGGAAAGTGCATTATTTCAACTAGTGAAACTAGGAAAGTTTTTGTTTGTAGTAGACCAAGCCCCCTCATCTACATGACAGCCTAGTTTGTTTCTGTTCAAATGTAGATATTATTAAGTGTTGTATATTTCACACGTTGCATGATTAGCGTACGCTATTTATTTGGTTTTAAACTGCGGTATGTTAACATGTCCGCCTGTTGGTTTGCTTTCCTCCTTACTCTTAAGTTAAAACGTAATAGCCAGCAATCGTAGTGAGGATAAAATGGAAGTTTTTCTTGTTTGTATTTAGTGTTTATACGAGGCTGCAGATTTAGTTCTTGGACTCGTCACCAACCCCTCATACTTTAGGCTCCGAAGTAGCATAACGAGTAACAAAGTTTGAAGACAAAATTTTTATAATAAAATACTTCTACAAACACTTGTTTTTTGAAGACTTGCGGCCTAAGCCCATTCATTCTGTTAATTTATTAGTTTGAGGCATGCAAGGAAGATGCTGCCTAGACTTAAGTCGTGTGCCCGAATACTTTGTGCTTGTAGGGCGGGCTTGAGGGTGCAGGGTCCTTAGCTTCCGGCCTCCCATTGTAATTGAGCCCGGCTCTTGCTTACCAGTATGATACGTGACTATGTATGGAGGTAATTTATTAAATATATTTACACGCAACTTTTACCCAAAAGGACTTTTATGCATCCTAATAATTAAGAAAAAGTGTTGCCACGTGCCAACCCCATATATAGCAAACATTTCGTTTTTGTCTACTTAATGCCTCTAGGAATATTTTATATCTTTAACATGTTTCTCTTATTTGGCTAGGTATATGCGAACCAGATGAGCTTGTATAGCAAGCTGGCGGGAAGATAGTTATACAGTACTCTTAAAAACTAGATTAATGCAATATGAAATATCTGCCTTGGCGAGAATGAACTCTGACCCCTGGGATTGCCAGTCAGCGGGCAGAGACCAAAGCAAAGGACAAGAACAACCGGACGCAATATCAACTTTGCTTTGGATGTGTTGACAATTGTTTATTTGTATAGTTTGAATATTTAAATTTTTAAATATACCTTATCTACTGGCTCAGTATTATCCCGGGTCTTGTGTTCAAATGAATTCAAATTCAAATTTGTATTCAAAAGAATGTGTGTACAAGGAACATAAGAGTTGTGGGAATAAGAGAGTTATTGAAACTAATGAACAACACTTTGCTTAACACTATTACGCAAAGTGTTAAGCAAATATATAATTATATAATGAAATTACTATATTGGATGATGTGGTGATCTGTTGGTTGCGTTGCGTCCGAAAAAAAAATTAAAATTTAGTAGAAAATATATATATCCCCCTGAATACTAAATTGCAATTTGTGAGAAACTTTTGTCCAGTTTTGCATGAAAACTAAATTAATATGACGCTTAAACTTTTAATATATTTTAGTTGTATAAATTATTGTATATCATTATAAACAAAAACATATTTTTTTTTTAATTTAAAAATCTCCAATTTTACGACCCTTCCAAAATCGTGTTAAACCAGTAAGTAGACCGATGAGCTGGAATTTGACGAATTGAATGCTAGAAAAATTACTGAATTCAGATATAACTACAGTATATCAATGGTGTTCAATGTGTAAGTACTTTATTCATAATGTACTGCTAGAAATTCTAGTCAATATGCAATGTTTGCTTACTGTAGGTAATGCACATGACTGTAAAGCTGCCGCCAAGTTGCGTGGGTGTGAAGCAGGATCAGTAACGGTGTAACTGGCTCCCCACAGATGTAAACTGCCTTGTGTGTGTGTGTGTGTGTGTATATATATATATATATATATATATATATATATATATATATATATATATATATATA